CAGTGCCAGCACACACGGGCCTCGGTGTCCCACCCCATTCAAGAACGACGAAAAGAAAGCTACTATCCGTTTCAAGGCCCGGGAAAACCCAGGAATCTCACCGCTTGCGTGGCGCCGCCACGTGTAGCCTCTCTACGGCGCACGTCTGATCTACTGCCCAAGAAGTTGCCGTACTAGCACTTGAAACCTAGTGCAGCCGGAGATGTCGACGTGCAAAGCTTTTGTGTGGGATGGTATGGCACTGCAGCGAGTTGTCGTTTCAGACCAAGCGCGGTGTCGCGATGTGTGGGACACGTCGAAACGTGCGGCCCTTGCGTCTCGGCGGTATGCACACGGAATAGCAAAACGCGAGCCGCCGGCCACGATGACCGAGAGATGGCGGCTACGCGTGCATTTGTTGGGTCGGTCGACGTCGTTGGTTTTCACTGCAGCTGACGAGCAGCCAAAGGCGCGGTTCGATTTTATTCGTACCAGTTGGGGGAATCTCGCTTGACGTCCAGAGGACGACATATGGTTGCACTTGGTCGCCGCGCGTCCACACTGCTCTCCATCCGCGCTTTGGTGGACAAATGCACTTTGCACTTGAGGAATGAGTTGTGATATTTTAATTAATTTATAGTTTTTGACAACGTTCTAGATCTTCCGTTTATGCACTGTACATTGCGACAGAGATACGATCGATGTTGGTGGGACCAACATGAGGTCGAGTGAGAATGCTCGCGGCCGCTCACCGCTAATAGTAGCAATGGATCGTATACGAGGGGATGATGGTGGTCTCGGAGGAAGCTGCACACACGTGCGTACGTAGACATCACGAACCAACCTTTGCCACCCTCGACGACGAAGAAGATCACGCTTTACGAGCTGATGGCGATCGGCGACTGAGCTTACGGTGGCTCTCGACCCAAGTCGTAGAGGTGCGATGGCATCGACAACGGCACTGCGGCCACGGCAGCATCCACGATGATGCTTCTTGTGTGACGCTATAGAAACGGAATCGTCGTCGAATCTAGCACCGCGGGCTTGAGGCGTACGCCAGGTCCGCTCAGTTGCATTCAAGTTGGAGCAGGCTGTGCAAGTGTGAGCATAAACACTACAGCAACACCAAGCTACCGCGCTGCGCCTCGGGCCTTTTATGGCTCCGACGGCGTGTGCACGGCAGGTGGCTCATGAATCGGATTACATTTCTGCGAAATACGCTGCGAAACCAGGGTTGCTTTGAATCTATCAACGCGATCTTTTAAAAAGTGATAGAAGATCGGGTCAAGGTTGCTTGCTTGTTGTGTTGCGCGCAGCGACATGGCCAAGTGAAATCCTACAGACCTTCCTCGTCTACGCTCCGACCTCTGGCGCCACCGTGATGTCGCCGCGCAACATAACCTCGACCCGCCTTTACTCACGGACCAGCCTACCATGCAGCAGGTACATGTACGCCAGCGTCGGAACCGGCGCCACTGGCCTTTTTCTTCCTCCCAAACCACCGCGTCGGGTGGAGGATCGCGACGCGCCCATTGGCTCCTCAAGATCCGGCACTGTGATTGGCGCACATCCCAATCAAACATCAAATCGCGTGGATGCAACTCACTGGCGTTGCCTCCCAAAGGACTCCCACGGCCTCCGAACGCAGTCGGCGACGACGCCACTTTGCACTACGACATGTCGTACTAACGTTAGTAGTACACAGCCCGATTGGATTAGTCGACGTAGAATCCATGTAGTTTATAGCAAACGTACTACGTTAGTCGTTTTGCAGTACGCTCATGTCGTTCTTCCTGCGGTGTGTCGACGGACGACACCACGTCGTACACTCCCAGAGCCGGCCCCGCGAACCGCGAGAGGACCACAGGAAGTCTCTGCACGTGGCCGAGGTCGATGGGCGCGGGGTGTGATTGGCTACATTTGACGCGCTGTGATTGGTCGAAATCCTGGGGTTTTCGCTGGCGTGGAGTCGGGTTCCAGTCTTGCAGTCGCTTCCTTCGGTCCAGCCGCATCATGCCCATTGACATCAACCAACTCCGCGTCGAGCGCGGTGGCAACCCCGACATCGTCCGCGAGAGCCAGAAGAAGCGCTTCGCCAGCGTCGACCTCGTGGACCAGGTCATCGCCCTCGATGAGGAGTGGCGCAAGAAGACCGGCGAGTGGGAGACGACGAAGATGAACATCAACGCGCTCCAGGCGCAGATCAAGGACCTCATCAAGGCCAAGAAGCAGGCCGAGGCCCAGCCGCTCATCCAGAAGCGCAAGGACTTGGCGGCCTCGGAGCCGGCTGCCAAGGCCGAGGTCGACGCCCTCAAGCTCGTCGTCGATCGCGAGCTCAGCAAGATTGGCAACCTCGTCGACCCGACGGTGCCCGTCTCGCAGAACGAAGACGACAACGAAGTTGTTGCTACGTGGGGCGCGTGCCGCCCCCACGACGACGCGCTCCACTTCCACCACGAAGTGCTCCACCGCATTGACGGCTACGAGCCGGAGAAGGGCGTCGCTGTCGCCGGCCACCGCGCGTACTTCCTCAAGGGCTACGGTGTCATGCTCAACCAGGCGTTGATCATGTACGGCCAGGCGTTCCTTATGAACCGCAAGTACACGCTGCTCCAGCCCCCGTACTTTATGAGCAAGGAAGTCATGGCGGGCGTCGCGCAGCTCTCGGAGTTTGACGAAGCTCTCTACAAGGTCACGGGCGCCGATCCCTCGGACGAAAAGTACCTCATTGCGACGTCGGAGCAGCCCATGTGCGGCTTCCACAAGGGTATGCTCTAAAGCTGATCCAACGAGGCCAACATGCGCACGTAGATGAATGGATCACCGAGTCGTCGCTCCCGATCCGGTATGCGGGTTCGTCGACGTGCTTTCGCAAGGAAGCGGGGTCGCACGGCAAGGACACGTGGGGTATCTTCCGCGTGCACCAGTTCGAGAAGGTCGAGCAGTTCGTCTTGTGCGAGCCGGAGAAGTCGGACGAGATGCTCCAGGAGATGATCTCGACTGCCGAGGCGTTCTACCAGTCACTCGGCCTCCCGTACCGCGTCATCAACATCGTCTCGGGCGAGCTCAACAACGCAGCGACCAAGAAGTACGACTTGGAAGCGTGGTTCCCGGCCTACGCCGAGTTCCGTGAGCTCGTCTCGGCCTCCAACTGCACCGACTACCAGGCGCGCGCGATGGAGATCCGCTGCGGCGTCAAGAAGATGAACCAGACCGAGAAGAAGTACGTGCACCTGCTCAACGCGACGCTCTGCGCGACGACGCGCACGATCTGCTGCATCTTGGAGAACAACCAGACGCCCGAAGGTGTCCGCGTCCCGGACGTGCTCGTCCCGTTCATGGGCGGCGTCACCTTCCTCCCGTTCGTTCAGGACGCCAAGGTCAACCACCAGGCCGTCAAGATGCAAAAGGCGGCCGCCAAGAAGAAGTAATATCTGCGTGCAACACGCCTTCTCTTCTTCTCCCTGTACATGGGCCATTACGTGTATGTCATGCATGGGACAGACGCAGTGAGGACGTTGACGGCAAGGACAACAACGTACGATCGTTGGCTCCGACTTATATATTTGGACGCGCGGTTCTATCTCATACGCCTAGTACAACATTTCTTCCTTGATCGTCTTGGGGTCGACCTTGGGCACGAGGTCCGAGTCGGGGCGCATCTTGAAGCCGGCCGGCGGGTGCTCCCACTTGAGCGTCGTCTTGCCCTGCGGGCCTTCGCACGAGAGCTGGCCGTTCATCGGGAGCGAGCCCCACTTGTTCATGACCGGCGCCTTGCCCGCCTTGCACGCGTCGAGGAGCTCGCGCGTCGTCTGCGGCGTCAAGTTTTCGTAAAAGTCGTCGTTGATCTGCACCATGGGCGCGTTGGCGCACGCGCCGAGGCACTCGACTTCGCGGAGCGTAAAGAGGTCGTCGGCCGTCGTCTCGCCCTCCTTGATGCCAAGGTGCGACTCGATCGTCTTCTTGATCTCTTCCGAGCCGCAAATCATGCACGGCGTCGTGCCGCAGAGCTGGATAAAGTACTTGCCGACCTTCTCGCGGTTGAACATGGTGTAAAAGGTCGCGACCTCGTACACCTGGATGGGCTTGACCTCCGTGATGCGCGCGACCTTGTTCATGGCCGCAAGCGGGAGCCACCCGCCGTGCTGGCGCTGGGCGAGGTCGAGCAGCGGGATGATCGCCGACGCCTTGTAGTTCTCCGGGTACCGCGACAGGATCGCATGCACCTTGACGTAGTTCTCCTCGCTAAAGTCGAACGGCGTCTCCTTCGTGTTGTCGGGCGTGTCCCGGTGCTGCGAGATGGCGCCGCCGCTCATGGCGCGGGCCGCGGGCGCCCGGCGCGCGGCAGAAGCTACGAGGCGCGACAACATCTTTTCCCGACCAGTCAAGAGGACAATGCCACCCGTCGCCACCGCAAACCCAAACCTCTCACACTCGATATTTGCACCCCGAGGCAAGTGCGAGATGCAAAGTCACAGGTTTTTTCGGCGCCGGCTAGTTGCACCCAGATGGCCCGCCAAATCGGGCCGGCCGCAGCGAAGCCCGACGAAGCCTTTGCGGGCCCGCCCTCTCCGCCGAGCGGTCGGTAGATGTAAGTGCAGTACGACGGCCAGCGCGCACGACGTATCTCCACCGACGCAATATCGCGTGACCACGGACCGAGTTGAAGGCGCTGAAAAGGCGGGAACTGCATTTGCCCTTGACGGCAACAGCACTGCAAGCATACTAGTACTACGAGTAGCAAACGTGTAGGAGGGGACCGCGCCCACCAAGAACTGGCGGGACTAAGACGTGGCTAAGATCGCTACACGTAGTGGCACGACGTTGGGAGCCATGGAGCTAGCGAGGCGTCGTGGGCCGGCGGCGGCTATTTCGAGGCGTGCGTTTTTGTGTGTCCGGGCAGAAGGTTGCGTGCGATTAGCGTATACAAACCTCGAGTGGGAGCGAGGCGCACTTAAGTGGGCCGGCCCCACTGACTGGTTGCATTTTTTGTTTGGCTGGAAACGAAGACGACAAGCACCATGGTAGACGACGGACGAGGTCGACGGACCGAGATGCTCATGCTGCTTGAGTAGGCTGGCGAAGATCCCGTTGACATCTACCCGGAAATCCGCAAGGGCTGCGAGTCCAAGTGCGCGCCGGTCGTCAAGGAGTACAACGCGTGCCTGGACCGCGTCGCCGGCAAGGGCGGCTGCGACGGCCAGTACTTTGACCTGTTGAAGTGCGTCGACAAGTGCGCTGCGCCGCAGATCTTCAAGCACTTGAAATAGACAAACACAACCTCAGATAGATAGTGCGGGGTAAGCGGCCGATGCTAATGCGACCGCGAGATCTCCCGGGCTCGTACTTTGCGTGTTCTAGCTCCACGCCTCCAAGCGGACCTCTCGTGTTGGTTGAAATACATACACGCATGGGATTTGGTTAACAACATGCAAAGGCAGCGTCTAGAATGGCCCAAATCTCGTCCATGGCCTCGAGGCCGATCGAGATGCGGATGAGGTCGCGGGGCACGCCGCATGACTCGACGTAGTCGAGCTCATCGTAGTGCGCTAGGAGCGTGTACGGGCACGAGAGCGTAAAGTTGGTGCCCAAGCTCGGCCCTTTCGCAAACGTCAGCGCGTCGTAGAACGCCTACCCGGCTATGAGACCTCTACATGCATGCATGACACCGTGTACCTTGGCGGCCGCTTGGCCTCCGTGGAGCACGACCGAGAGGAGCGGGCCGTGCGCGTCGGTTGCTGCCGCAGCCAAGTTGAAGTGCTCGTACGCCGCCGTGTCGACGTACTTTGGGTAAAAGATACGCTCGACCTTTGGGTGCGCCTCGAGCCGCGACGCAATGGTGGCGGCGGTTGCATTCACACGCGTGAGGCGCGTTTCGAGGTCGTCCGAGTCGCGAAGCAGCGCGGCCGCGTCGTCTTCGTAGAGGAAGCTATCGTTATGCAGCGCTTGAAGGAGCGTGCTGAGAAGCGGCGACGACGGGTTGACGACGAGGGACCCGCCCATGACCGTGCCCGTGCCGCTAAAGATCTTGGTCAAGCTCGTCGCGACGAGGTCCGCCGCGTGTCCGTTCGTCTCGCGCAGCACCTAAGCGGACTTTAGCACATACGATTTGCATCGAAAGGAATACGTTGACGTTGTACGAGCCGACCGTGTCGTCGACAACGAGCACCGTGTTGTGGCGGTGGGCAATGGCGGCGAGGCGCGGCAAGTCGGTGCTATGGAGAAGCGGGTTGCTCGGGAACTCGGTGAAGATCGCATGCACGTGGTCGATGGCGTCGATGGCGTCGAGGTCGGCCGCGTCGCCGCGCGGAAAGAAGAGGACGTCGCCCGCGCTCCACTCCGTTCGCCGGAGCATTTTGAGTGTATCGAGGTACGGGAACCCGACGAGGACGGTTTTGCCGGGCAGATGGCCGCGGAGGGTTTGGACGAGTCGGAAAGCGGCGAAGATGGACGCCATGCCGGAGGGGTACAGGTTGACGTGGTCGCTCGGGACGTCGTAGAGGCTGCCGATGCGATTACGCAGCAACGCATGCGTCGGCGTGTTGTCCATACGTGATGCCGACGGCGTGCCCTTTGACGCAGCGTCCAAGACGTGCTCGGCGAGGCGCGACGACGTGATCTCGCCGCTGTGTTGCCAAAAGGCCTTGAAGCAAGCGGCTGCGATCGTAGGGAGCACGACGGCGTGGGCGTCGCATGCGTGCAGTGGAATGATGTCGATGGCCGCGTCCGGGAAGCTGCGGTGGAGAAAGGCCTCGCAGCGCTTGGCGACAGCCTGCGTGGGCAGGACGCGGGCCGTCTGCGACTCGTCGTCAATGGCGTACTTGCTTGTGCACCAGCCATTGAGATCCTTGACGTACCCATGGTAGACGAAGCGTGGGTACCCGCTGCGCAGCGACGCGTGGAGCTCCGGGCAGCCCTGCTCGTAGCGCTCGACGTGGCTCCACTTGGGCATCGAGACCGAGACCGCGTGGACGTCGTCGGGCAGCGGCTCGCCGAGGGCCGCGTTCAAGCACGCAGGAACCACCGCCATGGGTCGAGATCAAATTTGATTTCGCAATCGGTCTCTCCCAAAAACCGATCTCCGTGGGTGCCTTCAACCCGAATAATCTTGCAGCCCGCTTGGCTTCTTCTCGTACGTACAGTACACGACATTAAACTTGTTGTCAGTATTGAGAATGTACGACTTGTACATTAGATTGGACGATGTTCGAGCTGGGTGCGCTCGGCGCTGTGATTGGCTGCAGTTTATGATGGGCATCCGGATACACGTGGCAGCGGCCACGCAACGTGCTGCAGTTGAGTCTGTGGACAGAAGCGAAGGCGCTTCTTGAAGCAGACGGCGCTTGGTAATAACCACGAGTAGCTTGGTGGAGACACTTCGGCGCGACCAGCTACATGTGCTGAGGGCTTGGAGCGGTGGGATGGAAGACGCCAAGCGAGGAGCTCTGTGACCCAATCAGAAAATCAGTCCTACCGCAGACATGAGAACCGAGAGCCCTACTGAAGGGACGCACTCGGTAAGTGCAGAGTGGTCGAGTGGAATTTTATGTAGAAAGGAAATCACGTAACATTCCAGGTCTCTTTAATCGACTAGCTTCTCATAGTTCACGCTGACATCAGCGGTATTTATAGCCAAATGGACGCGAGCACCAAGGTGATGGTCCAAAGCGCGGCGCTGCAGTCGCGAACCACGGTTCCTCTGGCTCGCCACTTTGACGCGGTCTCGACTCACTACCGCTACATGGACGCCGACGCGACGACCAAAGACGTACCGTTGCCAAGGGTCTTTCTATATGACGACGAGCTATTAGGAAGAGGACCGGGCCCGAATCATTCGCGAGCTCAAGGCAAAACGATCCAAGACCAAAGGCGCCGGCACGAAAACAGCTTTTGAAGCTGCATTAGAGGTCCATGTACGTTGGACTACGCACGTGTGAGCCCGCGGCAATGTTGTACGCAGGGGACGGGCCACCGGCGACCAGTGAAGCGCGCACCGCCGCCGGCACGGCCACCGACAAACCAAGCGTCGACTGTCGAGAGCCCTATCGAGCAAATGAAGCGCGACATTGACAAGCGTGCGTCGCCAACCGCAGCTCTCATGAAAAAGATCTCCGCCTTCAAAGCTGTAGCACCGCGCATCACCATTGTGTACTCATAGTATGGGATCGTAGGCTCAGGAGCGAGACTTGGCGGTGGTCGAGCGCCTCATCCAAGAGAAGAACGCCGCCGAGGCCAAAGCCAAACAACTGGAAGCGCTCTTGTGGGAGCAGCCGGCCAAAGTGCACCCGACGCCTCAATCCTCGCGGCCAAACGTGACCAAGAAGCGCGACCTTGTCATCGACGCAGGCGAGTCGTTCTTCAACGACATCCACGGCGACGAGTCGGCGCCACCCGAGTTTAACGTAGCAGGACCGCGAACCGCGAGCTCAATCGAAGACGAACCGCCTGGGTTCGATGACATTGTCGAAGAGCCGGAGGTATGTACATGCTTACCTGCAGTTTGAACTCTTAATATACCAAACCCTGCGTAGCCGTGCACAAGTCCGACAAGTGCCGTTACCACCCAGCGCCGAGAACGCCACACAGCCAACCCTGCGTCGGACGATGATGCTCCGCCGAGCACGTGGGCGACCCGCATTTCGAGTACGATCCTGGTGCGTAGTAATCATCGATCACCGAACGTATGTAGGCGTGCACTCTTCGTTCTTGTCGGAGGCGACTGCAACTTCCAACCGGAAGCGACACGGCTCGTATTTTGAAGCGTACGACACGCAGCAATGTACGAGCGAGTACTCATCAACAAACTTGTGGCAGGAAGGAGCGAGCGCAAGAGGAAGAGGCCGCACGTGCCGCCGACGCGCGCGCCAAGCTCGAGCGTGCCAAGCGCGCAACGCCGTTTACCGGTACACGACCGTGTCGAACGAACCAGAACGCTTAGGCGCAACTAGGGTTGCTCGAGAACGAGGCCAAGACGCGCGAACGCAAGCACCAGCGCCTTCAAAAGGTACAGGAGGCAGCAAGCCGCGAGTATCAGCCTTTCAAGGCGCGTGATCCCCCCGTGTTTGAGCCGACCGACGGTGACGTGGCCGAGCTCGCACGGCAGAAGCGCGTTGCCGAACGCGCCGCCGCGCTGCTTGCGCAAAGCCAATTACCGCCCCGGCTCGCGCAGGCCAAGCCGAGGAAATCGCGCGCAGCACCTGAAGCTCATGTGCGCATCAAGGCGCAGCCCGTACCCGACTTTCAAGCAATGCAAACGCAGTGGAAGGCGTCGCTGCAGCGCGCCAAGAGCCGGCGCACGACGACACAAGTGGACGAGTTTTCGATCACGCGCCCCGAGAAGACAGCCAAGATGGCGCAAAAGAAGCAAGCGCGCATCGAGCGCCTCACTGCGGCCGAGCGCGCTGAGGTACACTCGTCCATCAACGTTGATGCTTAGGCGCATAATAGAAGGAAGCTGTGGAAGCGGAGCGGCGGCAGCGGTTGGAGGCGGCCATGGAAGCTGCCAAGGCCAGCACCAAAGTCTCGATGACGGCGTCCCACAAGCTGCGCACCGAAGCGATTCAAGCCAAATTGAAGGCGCGTCGTCAAGTCGACAAGAGCCAGGTCGATTGCTTTATTCGGCTCGTATCCGGATGTTCCTCTGACGTGGCACGCTGCAGGAGGAGGCACTCGTGGCGAAAAAAGAGAAGCTCAAGAACATTGCCAAGCAAGTGATTGCTGAGGTCTCTGATAGCGAACGCAAGCGGAAGGAAGAGAAGGGCAACTACGTCGTACTGCGAATGTCTCGTTCATGCATGCAACACGCTGTCTGTAGGAGGACCCGGAAGCCGCGGCCAAAGCCAAGGCCGAAGATGACCGCAAGGCGTACCAAGAATCTCTCAAGCGCAACCGCGAGCGGATTCTTGCAGCTGCCGCCGCGCGCCCGTCGCTCATGGAGCGCTTTGCTATCGACAAGAAGAAGGAAGAGCACAAGGTACAGCGGCCTCACCTTGGCCGTCGCTCACGAGTACACTTAGCGCAAGGCTCTGCAAGCCGTGGTGGCCAACGTTTTTGGAAAGAATTTGGGCGCGTTCAAGGGTGTCTTCACCGAGGACGAAGAAGACCTCGTTGCGGGCCTCGAGACGTCAGCTGCGGACGACGCCACGGACGCCAAGGATGAGAACGACGAGGACGAGTACAAGAACGATGACTAGCTCTACTTTGTTATGATGCTTAGACAAATGAGAAGCGCTGGTTGGGTGCGTCGTCCACGCAGGCAAAGACCTGCACCTTGTTGCCTTGGGTTGGGTCGACATCGAGGCAGACGCTGTACGTGGCATGCACTAGTCGCGACGGCTCTTGGCGCCACATTTGGTTGGTGTTGTTGGCGCTGCACGGGTGCAGAGCGATAGTCAGTTGGTTGTTATCATGGCGCGACACGTCCAGACAAGGTTGCTGGCCACCTTGGTTGACGAGGGCGTCGCCGCCGAGCTGCCAGAGGTCGTCGGCCGAGATCGGTGATGCTGCGTGGTGCGCACGGAGCCCGCCGTGGAGCGCGCCGACGCTAAGACCTTGGCTCGACACGATCGAGAAAGTACGGGGCCCCGTAAACGGCGCGCCGAGGTCAAACTTCCAGCGCCCGTCGACGCCCGCGAGCCCAAAGTTGGCTTCGAACCCGCCTTTGCTCGGGTTGTCGTGGAACATGAAGTAGTAGGGCAGGCCGCCGCCGTTGCCGCGCTCCGTCCACTGCACAAAGGACTGATAGTACGCGACCGCATTTTCGCGGCTTGAGATGTGGGCGCCGTTGTTGCCGCCGGCGTGGGGCCAGCCCGTTTCGGTGATAGTGAGCTTATCCGGACCGTACAAGCGGACAAGATTCTGCCAGCGGGCGTCGAGGTCCATGACCGGGTTGGTCCACGAGATGGACGCGCCGCCAAAGAAGGCGTAGATGTTGACGCCCACGACGTCACAGGCCGCAACCAGCGCCGGCGCACGGAGCCAGTCCCCGTCCATCTGCACCGACCCGACCTTGATGTGGGCGAGGCCTGCCTGGCGCAGACGATCCTTGGCCTCGTGCACCTTGGCCACAACGGTCTCGACCGACATGGCATTCTGGAAGAGGTCTTCGTTGCCCATGAAGATCGCGTGGACCGCGTCCGGGTGGCGACGCGCGCCGTCGATCGCGGCTTGCAGGTCGGCCGTGTAGTTGCCTCGGATCCAGACCCCGGCCGCGATCTGGAGCCCGGCCTTGGCCGCAGCGTCGATGACGTTGACGCCCTTGGCGATGGACTGGAAGGTGCGCACGGCCGTGAAGCGCTCCTTGATCGTCGCAAAGTGCTGGTCGATGTGGTCGATGCCGTACGTATCGTAGCACACACCACGAGTCGCGTTCCCGGCGGCGAAGACGACGGCCGTGAGATGAGCCAAGCTCGCTGCGAGGATGCGTACCATGATGCTGAGGGCAGTGGTCGGCGGCCGGCTAATGCGAAAGTGCCAAGCCAGGTGGGAACCCCTCGCCTCTCCAACTTGAAGTGGTTTTTACGCCAATTACCAACAGTATTCGAGCGTGTAGCCTGGCAGCGTGTCGATCGAAACACGCTTCGCTTGGTCGCGCCCGTGCTGAGCTGCGCAAGGATGCACCAGAGAGGCTCCAGCACCAGTCCTCAAGCGCAATGCCAGGGATGCGGAAAAGCCATCGTACGTGGACGCGGAGGTGGCGCGCCATGTAGGCTGCGATAAGCCACATGACGCTGCTCACGCACACGCTGCGATGGCCGTCGCCCACGAGGTGCTGGCAGCCAGCGCCACGCACCGCAGCACGGTCTCGTCCAGCAACGCTGTCGGGGAAGACGCAAAAGCAAATAGGTCAGCACGATCCTGGCGGTAGTCGATCTGCGTCTTGCGCGACCGTAAACGAGATGTAGTTTGCTGCGACGAAGAGAGCGGACCGCAGTGCGCTGTGTGCCCACTGCTGCACGACGCGCTTGAACGCAACGCGTTGGCGAAATTTCGCTAGGCAGTTGCGACGTAACTCGGCTTGATAAGCCCCGTGTGCCAGACGCCAACGACGACGCCATGCGCCACTTCGGAGCTGGTGAAACCTGTGGCAAGGGTCAATACCCTTGCCTGTGGTTAGCTCGCGCAAGCGCTTCACTGTGGGTGTGGCCGTCTCGTGGCGTTGTGGCATTAAATTTGCGAACTTCGAAGCTAATCCCACCCAATGTTGAAGCCGTAGTGGCACTCGTATTGCAGCTCGTCCTTGTCTACGTCGACCTACCAAGACCGCAGGCAGTGACATTGCAGAACCGCACCAAGCCGTCGACTGCGTGCGCGTGCGCCACGTCATTGCCCCGCGTGTGGAGTAGACAGGCCAACGTTGCGTGCCTTTAGCCTGTGCTATAAATACTGAGCTTCGAACTTCGGTACTGTCTAGCCGTCAAGATGCAAGCCGCGTGCCAGGACGGGGTCGCGTGGTGGCGGGCGACCGTTGGCGCCGCACCGACCGCGCCGACCGACCGCGTCCTAGACCGTCTCCTCGAGTGCATTGACGTGTCTCTGCCGTCGGCCATGTCGCCGCAAGAGATGCGAATCTACCTGCGCGTCTGCCTCGAGATGCGACCGACGCTGACGGCGCGGGACTGGGAGCACTTTCTCGTCCGGTTCGGACCGTTCCGGTCGTGCATCACCAAGTCCGTGACGTGCTTCCAGAGCCGGTACCACGACGGTATTGCACCCTGGTTCCACGGCGTCCTCTCGCGCGCCGACGCCGAGGCCATCCTCCGGGGCGGCGACGACGGCTCGTTCCTCGTGCGCTTCAGCGAGACGCAGCCCGAGAAGTTTACACTCGCCTACGTCAAGGTACACTCGGCGCCGCCGCATGCGGGAAAGCGCGAGATCAAGAACGTCTTGCTCGTCCACGACCCGACGGTACATCGTGTCGCCCGAAATGGTGTCTGATACCATGTCGTTAGCGCGGGTACGGGCCGCTCGACGGCGGGATGGGCCGCATGTACGAGTCAATCGCTGCCTTCATCGATAGCAGCGCGGGTCGCCTGCGTGTCTCGGTACGCACACGAGCCATTTGCGCATTCCGCCCATGTGACCCAGCATGTCCATACTCAATAGTACGCGTCCAAGCTCTCGTCGCAGATCAACGACGAGCTCAAGGCCGCGCGCAAGGCGGGCACGCTCGACTTTGGCCGGCTCTCGCTCAACGACAACAACGACTACGCCTCGTTCAGCACCGAAGACGTTGGTGACCGCGCACCGCCTTCGGGCTGCCTCTTTTCGACGACTCCCAACGTAGCGGCGAGCAGCGACTATGGTCTTCTCGAGCCGCCGGTGCGGGTGTCCGTGGCCGATAATGACTACGGCGCCTTCAAGTCTGTCGGTGACAACTACGGGTCGTTCAGTCGGCTCGCCGATGGCTACGGCTCCCTTGGCCGCGACGACATCAAGTCGTCGTACGGACAGTTCAACTACGTTGAAACCGAGCGCAACGCGCAGCTCACACCACCAAAGCCGCTACCTGCATCGTCCTATGGACGATTCGATGCTGCGGCGCTGCCCTCCGAGCCCGAGGCGGGCGCGTACGGGCGGTTCTCTGCCGCCGCGCCGCCGCAGAGCGCCTATGGCCGCTTCACGGACGTGGCGCACCCTCCGCCGGCGCCGGCGACCTACGGACAGTTTGCCTCGCTGCCACAAGCGAGCGCTGTCGAGCCAGCACCGTCCAACGCGTATGGGCAGTTTGGCGACGTGGCTTCCGCGCCGGTGCAGAGCACCGAGGCGCAGGCGATCGCACAGCTCGAGATGGGCATGGGTCTCTACAAGCAGGCGAACCTCCATGAGGCCATCGAGTATTTTTTGCGCGCCGAATTCTTTGCCAAAAATGCAGGTAAGCAGCAGGGTCGAAGTCGTGGCGACTAAGACATGGGCGGTAGGCGCGACGCACGTCGAGGCGCGGGCGCTCGGCAACCTCGGCACCGTGCACTTGGATCGGAAGCAGCCGACGCAGGCGGTGCTCTACTACGAAAAGTGTCTTGCGCTGACGCGGCAGGTCGGCGACGGGAAGCGCGAGAAGACGATCCTCAACAACCTCGTGCTTGCGTGCATGGCCGCCGCCGACTACGCCATGGCGCTGCGCTACTCGCACGATCAGCTCCGCGTGACGGCCAACGCTGTCAACCGCCAAAAGATCGCAACGCGCATCGCGTCCCTCGAAGAGCGCGTCCAGCAGGCGTCGTTGGCATCCTGATAAGCGTTCGAGCCAAACCATCCTCTGTACCACGTGGTGGGTCCTGCGTCTTTTGCGCAGGTCGCAGGCACAGTGGCATCCTGCCAGCTGGTCGCTCACATCAGCAGTAACCTGTACAAACGGCGCGGTCTTTGCAGCCGCACATTCCTAGCGATGGCTCGGCCTGGCAGCGCAGTAGGATCCATTGGCTCCCTGTGGGCGCGGCCGGCGCCGCAGTCGTCGCTTCATCCACCGTGCCGACCTAGTACTGCCGGCCTGTCCTGAGACTCAATTTTTGGCGGACCTCTACTCATTTTGATTCCTTCGAACTTCGAAGAACGCGTGTATTTTTTTGAATGTACATACAAACAGCAAGATAACATGTGGACGTCGAATAAAAGGGAGCTTGTAACACTGCGTAATGACGGAAACTGGGCTCTTGGCAGGCGCTCATCGAGCTTATTTTCCCAGCCACCAGCATGCGTCGACGAGCAACCGTCGTCCTGCTGCTCCTCGCGCTGCAGGCAGCCTCGGGCCTCCGCCTGCAGAACGGATCCAAGGTCACGGACGTCCCTACCTCGCCGACGACGCCGACGTCAGATCCCATCACGAAGCCGCTCACGCCGACGCCGACGCCGACGACATTGACGCCAACTCCGACGCCGACGACGGCGCCACCGACAAAGACGCCGACACCGCCGCCGGGCCCGACAACGGAACCACCAACGCCAACGACAGCACCGGTTACGGACGCGCCTGGACCGGCGCCGTCACCATCGAGTGCAACGCCAACAACGTCGACAAAGACGCCACCCAGCGGTTCGACGCCGACCCCGACGCCGTCAACCAAGGCGCCGACCCGATCGCCCAATGCGTCAACGTCGTCTGGTTCCGGATCTGGCGATCCGTCCGTAGCTACGAAGACACCTGCGCCCAACAAGCCCGACGACTCGTCCAACATCATCACGTACGCGGCTGTGGGCGCCGGCGTCTTTGTCGTCGCCGTTGCCCTTGTCGCGTTCGTCTTGTACCGTCAAAAGAAGGCTGCCGAGCTCGAAGATGCGCGGACGTCCTTGACGCCGGCCGAGTACTACACGGACCGGCGCTCGCAGCCGTACACTGGCAAGTCTCAGCACACGAGCTACCGCGGATCGGTCGACACGCGCTCGTCGCAGAAGAGCACGCAGCGCCACTCGACGATCGACGTGGGCAATTCAAACTCGCGCTCAACGGGTCCGGTGGTCACCGGCGGCGAGGTCAACCAGCTCGAGGGCTACGACATCCGCTTCGACAAGTCGATGAGCAACTTCCGCGTCGCGAACGAAGAGGTCGAGCTCTTTGACGTGCTCGCGCGCGGGGGCTTTGGCGTCATCTACCGCGGGCGCTTTGCGGGCGAAGAGGTCGCGGTCAAGAAGTGCTTGCCCGAGAAAGTCAACAACCATGAGGCGATGGAAGCCTTTATGTGCGAGATCAAGCTCATGTCCAAGCTGGACCACCCGAACATTGTGCGCTTCGTCGGCGTTGCGTGGACGACGTTGCTGCAGCTCAAGATGCTCACCGAGTACCAGCACAACGGCAACGTCCGGAATCTGCTCGTCGAGGACAAGGAGCGCCGCCAGATTCCGTGGTTTGGCTCGAGTGCGATCACGAAGCTCCGGATGGCGTCGGACGTGGCCGAGGCGCTCGTGTATCTCCACACGGCGTCGCCGCCGATCATCCACCGCGACCTCAAGAGCAGCAACGTGCTCTTGGGCGACGCGTGGGAGGCCAAGCTGACCGACTTTGGCACGAGCCGGGAGCTCAGCGACGAAAACACGATGACGGCCGAGATTGGGACGCTGGCGTGGATCGCACCCGAGATCATGCTCGGCGGCCACTACACGGAGCGCGCCGACGTCTACTCGTTTGGTGTGCTCCTGAACGAGCTCGACTTGGCGGACCTTCCGTACTCGAACGTGACGAGCGACGGCTTCATCTCGCACACGCGGCTCGGCGTCATGGTGGCGGCCGGCAAGATCGCCCCCAAATTCTCGGACGACTGCCCCGAGCAGATCGCCGCGCTCGGGACCGAGTGCCTCCGCTTCGAGGCGTCGAGCCGCCCCACAGCGATGCAGATCGCGTACCGACTCCGTCAGATGACCAAGAGCACGACCACCCGACCGCTTTAACGTGCGCCTGTATACAACATGATGTGCTATTATTTATGGCGGCTAGTGGTGCGAGAGCGGAATGGCGTGGGGCATGGCGGAGGCTGGCGGCAGCACGAGCAGGCGCCACGCCTTGACGTCAAAGACATACCGACGGTTCTTGTGCGAGAGCGAGAGGAGACCGGCCATGACGGCCGACATGGTGTCGAGGTAGTAGACGCCGTCGCGCTCCCGGTCGTGCCAGTGCATGAGGTAAAAGCTCTGCGACGAGAGCAGGAGCGTCTCGATCGGCACCGACGGCTGGTGCGGCGCATACCATTTGGCGAGTTGGTACCAAACGATAATGTTGGCGAGCGCAATGCCGCAGAGGACGCCGAGCCGGAGCGGATCGCCGAGCGCGATCGACCCGCTCACGCAGTGGAGCTCAAAGTCGACGTCGACGAGGTCACAGCGGCGGTGCAGCGCGGCGGCGTAGTGCTGCGGGTGCAAGAACGTCCAGATCGTGACGGAAATGGTCGTACCGAGCGAGCTCCGGCCAGCGTAGAGCGACGTGTACTGCTGCGTGATGCAGCTAAAGACGTCGTTGAGCACGTAGACAAGCCAGGACGCTTCGGACGCGGCCAGGATCGTCATGTACCACGTGAGCGGCGGCGAGTCGAGGCGCGTGACGCTATCGACTTGAAGGAGTTTCAACGGACTTGTGTTGAGCATCCACATGGCGGTGACCGAGCGCAGGACAAGGAACGTGCGGCCGGCCCACACGTGGCCGATGATGCGGTTGAGCGCAAAGAGGTTCATGCCTTCCACGTCCCGCGTCGGCGACGTCAGAATGAGGAGCGCGATCGAGCCGGCGATGCAGATGAGAATGTACGAAATGTACAAGTTGCCGGCCTGCGAGAGCGATGAAAACGTGACGGGGATCGCGCTCGGGTCGGGCGCCATGGTGCGCGGCGCGGTGCGGGCCGAGATGGCGGCCACCGCGCCGCTGTCACCTTGAAATGCCACGACTTCCCGATGACCAGCGACCCACTCAAAGAGGTAGCACCACCCGAAAAACGTCCACGGCACATCGCTCGGGTCGAGGAGGTTGATGGTGAAGAGCGACGCGGCGGCAGCACCGTTGAGCGCAATGTACTGCACCGCCGAGACGTTGAGTTCGGGTGCGAGCACGAGACGCTGGAGCTCGTGGGCGACCGGCGCGAGGGGTGCAAAGGCCGTGGCGTTGACGTCCATAGCAAACTGAGACAACTTTTCAAAGACAACGGGACACCCCGAGCCCGCCGCGTTCAAGCCGCAAATGTCGGCGATCGCAACGTTGGCGTGGTTGGCATAGAGCCCGAGAAACGCAAAGATGAGCTCTGCGTTGGACGTGGCCATGTTGTCGCTGAAGATCGCGTGACACGGGTTCGTCATCCCAAACGGGCGGTAGAGACCATAGTAGGCGGGGTAGGGCGGGCAATCGTCGCCGCACATCATATTGCCGCCAACGACCGCGATCGACGCGTTGTACATGAGCGACGTTGGCACGGGGAGGACGAATGGCCAGCTCGGCAGTTCTGCGAAAGCAGTGCGCGCGGTCGCATTCGAGAGCAGAAGCGCCGAGAGCGAGCTGAGATAGCGCCCGTACATCGTACGCAGTGCGCTGGGGCACGTAACGAACACCATGTCGATCGAGCCAAACGGCCCGAGCGAGTCGTGGAGCGACTGCAACCCTGGTGAGAGCGGCGCGATGATGGTTAGATTCTGCTGCAAGACACTCTGACTGCTCACGTTGGCAAAGGCAAAGTCGGCATCGCCGTAGATGAGGCTCTTGCCGCTGAGCAAGGTCGCGTTCGTTGCGATGGCCCAGAGGTCGCTCGCAAACGTCCAGTAAAAGCGCAGTGACGTCTGCGTGTTCATGTGGTACGCCCCGACCGAGTGGCTGATCGCGAGCGGCTGCGTGTAGCCCAGCGCCGACGTCACCTCGATCGAGTCGAGTAGCCCCAGTGTCTTGTAGTTTTGCCACCGAAATGCAAAGGCCGCGATGCCATGGCGTTCCCAGTAAGCGACCTCGTCCTCGACGCTGGTCGCGACGGCCGCCGTGTCGGCCAGCCAGCGCTGGCCGTGGTTGGTCGCTCGCAGGACGCGGCCTATGCCAATCTCAAACGACGTCCCCCAGCACGACTCCCACGCTTGGCGATCGGGGATGTTGCGTAGGGCTGTCTCGAGGTACACGGCGCCGTTGGTCGTGTACTGCGCCTGGCAGCGCGCTACGCGGCGGCTGGAGCTCGCGAGCGACCACGTTCTTTCGAAATCGACCCAGCACAACTGCGTCGACATCCACGGTAATTTGCACGGGTTGAGACTTCGAAGCCCGACCACAAAGGTGCTGAGTGGCATCGACGGCTCCAAGAGCTGGCGCCGCGGCGCGTGAAAGCTCGAGATGATGGTCGCGGACGAGTCGTTGTAGCGCTGTCGCCAGTCGCTAAAGTCGACAGACGCCACTTCAAATGGCAGTGGAGTGCTGTTGCCGTGCAAGAGCAGCTGCTCGTTGAACTGGTTGGCGACGAATGCATACACGCCCGTGGCCGCAAAGCCCTCCCAGCCAAAGTCGTTGGCCAGAAACGACTGCGCGAGCTCGAGATAGAGGATGTTGCTCGTGAACGTCATGGCCATAAACAGTAGCGCGACCGCAATGACGACGCTGTTGTAGCGCACGCGCACCTTCCAGAGGTACGACGTCTGCCGCTGGTCGTCCCGCTTCTCCAACTTGATCGATTGGGGCAACATATCGGCGGCCGCGAGCCGCGTTTTTTCGTTGTTGATGAAGCGCCAGAGCTTGATGTCAAACCACCCGAGCTGCTTGATGTTGACGACGCCCGCCATAAAGGCCGTGACCGGGTTCAAGCTCGCTTCCCACGTCTGCTCGGGGGGTGGTGGCTGCAAGTAGGCCACCGCGGCCGACGAGAGCAGGAGCGATGGCTCGGGTACCTCGCCCGATGCGAGCACGCAGCGCTCGAAGAGGATGCCGACAAGCACGACGCCGACGTTGACGACGAGCACGGTGAGCACACGTTGCCAGGACCCGAGGACAATGTGGCCACTATTGCAGAAGACGTTGCGGTCCATATTGACCAAGTAGCAGTCGCGGCGCAAGGTCGCGTCGACGTTGACGGGCGATAGGACGTCGAGGAGGAAGACAATGAGAAACGCGAGATGGGAGCTCCACGGAGCGTACGTGCGCGTGCCGTGGAGCGTCAGTGGCGTAAACACATCTTGGACAACGTACGTGATCCAGACCGACTCGCCGGCAAAGAGACTCGACTCGTACAGCGACCGGTGCGAGTCGACGAGGCGCTGTGACGCGCTGCTCTTGACGGGGGCCGTGCCGAGGCTCAAGCTGCAAGCAAACGCGCGCGTAAGGAGCAGCGATCGGTTCGACCAGACGGCCGAGACGACACGGTTGAAGACGAACCAGTCGCTGCCGCGCGGCCGATGTACACTGAAAAGGAGGACGACGAGAAGCCCGACACCGGCGATCGCAGCCGACACAATCACAGCACAGTACCACATGTACATGCCGAGGCTCAGCGTGGCGGGCGGTGCGGGGAGCGCGACGCCGGGCGTAGCGTATGACATGACAGTGTACGAGGCGACGTCGCCTTCGAACGAGACGACTTCGCGCTGGTTCATGGCCCAGTCGTACAGCATCCCATGGCCAAAGAAGGCCCACGACGGCTCCAAAATGGCTTGTGTCTGGAGGTGGAGTGGGTTGGCTCCATCTTGCACAAACTGCAAGAGGCGAATGTCCAGCGTCAAAGCACTGGACGCTTGCAGGTCGTTGGGTAATGAACCGAGGATTGTCTTGGCGGCAGTCGCAGCCCGTAGAAGGTCGTAGCACAGTGCCTGTTCGTCGGGCAGCGCAAGGGCGCAAATCGGCTGCGCAGTCGTGGCAGTCAAAGCAGTTGCGAAGAGCGCACTCATGGGCGTCAGTCCCACGCTGAGGCGGCGCTGGGTGCCGCACGCATCGTCAAAGCCAAACGACTCTTGGACAAAGTCCGTGGCGCTCACATACCCGCACATGGGACTGCCGCCGTAGAAGCGCAGCGAGGTCTTGGTCCATTGCGGCGGTGTCGGGTGCAGCGTGAGGCTCGGGATCGCTGCGAATGCAGTCGCAAAGGCCGGTGTTGTCTCCAGCGCGTGCAAGACGAGCGCGCGAAAGCGCTGGACGGCAAGGTTGAGGTCCTTCGGCAGTGGCACCCAGCGCAGATCAATGTTGGCAAGGAAGCCCAGGGCGTCGTGCGCGGCGGCGTACACGGGCGCGAGTGGGTACCCGAGGTTGTAGTACTCGAGCTGCGTCGGGTCAAACGCGCCAAAGAAGAGCGTCGAGTTGAGCACGAGGCTCTGGTTGGCGCCAATGGCGTTGAAGTCATTTTGGAGCCCGGCATACATGTAGTCGGTCGTCCAGAGCGCATCGCGGTGCCACGCCGCGAGCGACTTGAGCCGAAAGGTGGACGAGAGGCCGAGTGCATTTTGGATCGTGATCGTCTCGTCAATGCCGATCTGGAATTGGTTGGCGTACTGGAGTGCAAATCTAGTCACGCCCGCGTCTGCCCAGACGCCGACTTCTTCATCGAGCGTGCTCCACTTGCGGTCGAGCATCGTGTCGAGCCACGTTGGACCGTCCATAGGACTCACGCTGCGGACTGCGTTGCCGATGCGCACGTCAAACATGCCTTGCGTGCTCTCGACCCAGCGGCGGAACGGCGTGTTGCGCGCGACCGACTCCAAGTACACGGCGCCGTTGTTAACATCGCGCGCCCAGCAGCGCGCTGCCCGCGCCGCCGTGTGGGCCATGACCCAGCGCTTCTCAAAGTCGACCCAGCAGTACTGCGCCACCATAAAGATGATGTTTTGCGTCTCGAGGCGCCGGAGACCGACGATCGCGGCCTCAGCGGTCGTCAGCTCCTCGTACACGAGCTTGCGCGCGTACGCGGCGAGCTGCCCAGCCTCGTCCGAGGACGTGAGGTGGCGCGCTATGAGATCCAACGGCGTTGACGAAGGCGCTTGCACGGGCAGCAGCGTGAGCTCCAAATTGAACGTCGTCGCGACCAGCGTCGAGACGTTGGACGCAAAGAGGCCCGGCCAAAAGTAGTCGTTCTCCATGTACGGGCGCAACATGTAGAGCGCGGCGAGGCCGAGCAAAACAGAGCCAACCACGTATGTCAGGCCGACACCGTCATAGAGCCGCGTTTGACGAAGCGCTGCCAGCGACCACAGCATGCTGCTCTGGTGAGTTGGCGACTGATAAAAAGGCAGTCGCGCCAGCTATTATCAGCGCCGAAACGGAAGCGCAACCGATGATATGAAGACAATGGCGCAGAAGTGTTGGACCGAACGGGCTGAAGCGATCGTTGCTGCTTGTTCTCATACCCGACGCTGTCCAAGACCTGCGCTCCGACACGAATTCCTGCACAGCCAGTAGGACGTACACTGCCGCACAGATGTACGAGAAGAAACGCATAGCTACCTATCTATGGACATGCACCCACGACTGGTGCGACGAGCCAAGCCCGCGCCGATGACGCCACTGCAGTCCTAGAACACCCCGACGAGGAGCCTCGGATGCGACCGCCACTGATGCATCGGACCAACATGGTGCCGATCCCGAAGCTCTTGACGCGTAGTAGAATGGCAGCTAGCATGCGCTTGAGCAGCGCCGTGTAATCAGCTTACCGCGTTGGCTCTAAGCGAGTACGTGGACGCACGCTTACTTGGCCACGGACGCGCCAGCAATTAGACTCGGTCGACCGCATGGCGATCTGATCGCACCGATATCCGGATATCCGGATATGGGTGCATTGAACGTCAAGCTCAGTGTCGACAACGAAGCATGAAACGGAGGGCGGCGCTACTCGTGCTGCTGGTCGTGGCGCTCAGCACCAAGGCGCTCACCCACGTCCCGAAGCCGTCGGCAACGACCGCGCCGCCGTTGGCCAGGCCCAGCGCCGACGGCGACCACCGTACGAGCCTCGACGGCGTCTGCCGTACGTTCCACATGAGCGGCTCGTGGTGGCGCTACGAGTGGTGCCACCAAGAGCACGTGCGACAGTACGCGATCGACCGCGTCACGGGCGCCGAGGCCTCGGTGAATCTCATTGGCCGCTTCTTCGGTGCGACCGACGGCGAGGCGTCGCCCACGCGCGCCCGGCCGTTCGTGACGCACGTGTTCTTGAACGGCGACGCGTGCCATGGCGGGTCGCGGCAGTCGCCTGTCGCGCGCAACCGCAGCGCCGAGGTCCGCTTCTCGTGCTGCAGCTTTCGACCGACAGAAACGTACATTGAGAGCGTCTCGGAGCCGATCTTGTGCGAGTACCTCTTGAGCGTGTGCACGCCGTTGGCGTGTGCGACCAAATTGCAGGCCCAAGACGAGAGCAGCGACGACACCAAGCGGCTCCGAGCGACTGTCAAGACCATGTTCTACCACGCGTACAACAACTACATGGAGCACGCGTTCCCGCTCGACAACCTCCGCCCGATCTCGTGCAAGGGCGACACGTTCGAGCTCGGGAAGATCCCAATGCTGACGCTGATCGACACGCTCGACACACTGGTGGTCTTTGGCGACTTTGAAGAATTTCGCCGCGCAGTGCGCCTCGTGCTGTCGGGGGCCAGCTTTGACCTCAACACCGAAGTCTCGGTCTTTGAGACCACGATTCGGGTGCGTCATCAATATTGGTTGAGGCGCTGATACGGTCTAGGTCCTCGGCGGGCTCCTCTCGGCCCACATGTTTGCAGTCGACGCGTCGCTCGGCATCTATGAAGCAAGCGCGTACGACGACGGGCTCCTGCGCTTGGCAATTGACCTTGCCGACCGGCTTCTCCCAGCATTTGTGACCAAGACGGGCATTCCGTACGGGACGGTCAATTTGCGTTATGGCGTGCCCCGGGGCGAGACAACCGTGGCCTCCACGGCCGGCGCTGGCTCACTCACGATGGAGTTTACAATGCTGAGTGTTTTGACGGGCAACCCGGTGTACGCGCTCGCGGCTCGAAAAGCCGTGCGGGCGCTGTTCGAGCGCAAGTCGAGCGTCGGGCTCCTCGGCAAGCACATTGACGTCGACTCGGGCGACTGGACCGAGACGATTAGCGGCCCAGGCTCCAATTCCGACAGCTTTTACGAGTACCTTCTCAAGATGTACGTCCTCTTTGGCGACGCCGAGTCGCTCGGTATGTTCGAGGAAGTCTACTCGAACGTCATGGAGCACAACAAGCACGGCGACTGGTACGGCGACGTCTCCATGTGGGACGGCTGCACGGGCGGCGCCGCCATTGTCTTTGACAACCTCGTCGCGTTCTGGCCGGGCATGCAGACACTCCTCGGGGACTTTGAGACGAGCGCCAAGAGCCTCAACGCCTACTACCAGGTGTGGCACAAGTACGGCTTCCTCCCCGAGCAGTTTGACGTGGGTCGGTGGCGCCCCAAAAAAGCCTCGAGCAACCGGTACCCGCTGCGGCCCGAGCTCATCGAGTCGACGTTCTACATGCACGCAGCGACGCGCGACGACTCGTGGCGCAAGGCCGGCGCGGCGTTCGTCGCGTCCATCGAGCGCTTCTCCAAAACCACGTGCGGCTACGCGTCGATCGCGGACGTCGAGTCGCGCGCCCAGGAGGACGACATGCCCTCCTTCTTCCTCTCGGAAACGTGCAAGTACCTCTACCTGCTCTTTGACGACAACAATTTGCTTCGACGAGGCAACTACGTCTTTACGACCGAGGCGCACCCGTTCCCTGTGCTTTCCTCGGCCCAAGTCGCAGCCATTTGGCCACCGAACGGCGCCCCGCGTGCGCCCCGCCAAGCGCTCACGTGTCCGCGCCTCCCGTTCTACGCGTCCGTCTCGTTTGACGCCTCGTACCAGGATGCGTTTGTCAAGATGAAGCCCCGGTGCGACGCGCCCCGTCGGGCCGCAGCCAAGGCGAGTAAGAAGAACTCGGCCAAGGCGACGGCGCCCCGCGTCTTGCACGGTGGCGACGCGCTCGGCGACTTTGTCATCGATCAGCTCGTCGGCGGCTTTCGCGCCCGCAGCGCTCGGTTTCCCGGCGATGCGCTCAAGGTCACCAACCTCGGCGACCCTAAGATCGTCGTCGAGTTCCACTCGCCCGAGCCGACGCCGCTCGCCGACTTTCGCATCCACAACTTTGAGACGGACGTGACGACGCGCTGTCGACTGCTCGTGTACGACGCTGACGACGTCCTGATCGACACGATCACGTGTTCCGGCGCGCTCTTTGGTCCGACCAAGACCGAAGGGTCGTCTGTTTTTGTCGAGAAGCGGTCGGTGGAACTCGCCTCGCCTCTGCGTGCGTGTGCGGCCATGGACGCTGTCGACCCTGGCGCGATCGTGCTCGTCCAGCGCGGCGACTGCTACTTTGACGACAAGGCGCGCCGCGGCATGGACGCGGGGGCGAGTGCCGTCATCATCGTCAACACCGACGCGGCCGAGGACCTCATGATCATGGCGCGGTCGTCGACGTCCGATGCGGCGCAGGATGAAACCCCGATCTCGGTGCCCATCGTCATGGTGGCGCAGACGGCCGAGGCGCGACTCCGCCGACCCCACACCCGCGTTTCGCTCGAGCACCACATTGTGCCCCGCGACGACGACGACTTCCCGTACGTTGTCGGGTCGCGCTACGACCTCAAAGTCGTGGGGCCGCACGGCTGGGGCCTCCACCTCGCGCTCAAGACGAGCGACGCAACCGGCGTCTCGGCGTGGACGATTGCGCTCGTGGACGCCACGGCGCCCGAAGAGGAAGAGACAGCGTCGGACGAGACGACGCCGACGGCCCAAGCCTTTGCGCGCGTCTTGCAGCAGCTCAAAGGACTCGGCTTCTCGGACGAAGCGCTGCATTTGCTCGAAAACGAAGACGACGCCGATCTGCGACTCGAAGCGCTCCTTAGCGGTCTCCGAGATGTCGGGCTGGACGATATGGCCGACAAGGTGGCGCTCAAGACGAGTGATGCCAAGGTCGCCAAGGACGACGACCCTCCCCAGGTCATCGAGGCATTTCAGTCTCTGGCCAGCGAAGAGGACGCGAGCGATGTGTGCACCGACGCCGACGCCCCCGCCAAGGTTCCTGGTAGGTAGTCCGAAGGGCATAGGCCCTTGTAGTCAAAGGGCAATCAGGCAACACCAAATGTCGTATCTTCTTAGGTAAGGTACGCGGCTGTGATTTCCTCCGAGGACGAGTCGCGTAGGATGTTTTCCTAGCATATGCTATCATCGCAGAAGGAGAGGGACTTGGACGTACGCGCTCGAGGGCGCACTCGCCGCCAACATGCACGTCAAATGCGTACTGGTAGAAGTAGCCATCGATCGTCGCGACCAAGAGCTGAGCTTTGGAGCTGCCTTCGCTCGGCCCATGGATCGCGCAGAGGTTGGGCACGCGCGCCGTGCGCAGTCGCGCCTACAACCATGTGAGCTGTCCTAGCTTGGAAGCGGGCGAAGTACAAAGGCAAAGTCCCGCGTGCCCTCGGCAATGCGCGACATGGACGACGGGATGTACGAGCCGACGGCGCCGAGGACGGCGTCGGACGCCTTTGCCTCGGCGAGCGGGTTGAGCGACGGCGGAATGGACGCAAACGTGACAAACGAGCCCGACCGCGACGACGTCTCAGTCAGCGAGAAGATGTGGACGGTGCCCGTGTCGCCCGAGCAGCAAAGCAGCGTCGACGCGGCGTTGAACGCGAGGCAGTAGATCTGCGCCGGGTACGAGCCACGTCGGAACGTCGCCTTCTTCTTGCCGCTCGGCACATCAAAGACGCGCAGAATGGTGCCCTCATATAGCCAATAAAGGGCGGAAAAGCAAGCAAGCGGAATACCGTGTCGGACGCGGTTGCGAGGAGCGTGCCAGTGCTGTTGAAGGCAAGCGCGACCGGCGTCCCACGGTGCGCTTGGACTGCATTGAGGACGCTGAGGTTGTTGGCGTCGTACAGGACGATCTCGCCCGGGACGGTGCCCGTCGGGAAGGCGAGATGGCCATTGTCGCCGGGCGAGAGGACGCAGAGCGCCTTTGGGTTTGGCGCCGTGTCGAGCGTGTTGAGCACCTGCATCGAGTTGATGTCAAAGATGTAGATCTTGCGCTCGAGCACGACGACGAGCCTAGCGTGGCATGAGCTTCACCGCCGCTTAGGCAGCGTACCGCTGGCGGTTGAGCTGCACGCTGAGCACCGCTGTGACAAAGTTGAGGTCGCAGATCGCGGCGCTCGTTTTCGTGTTCCAGACGCGAAGGCGTCGAGGCGAAAAGGCCGGCTACACGAGGTACGTTAGCCCTGCAAGTCGACGCAGCATGCAATACAGACTTGTTCGCCGGCGCCCACGAGCACCACGAGGCTCGTGCTGAAGAGCATCTGCGCAATGCCAATGCCCCCCGAGGCCTCGTGGAACGAACGGCCAAAGGGCTCGCAGCTGTAGACGAAGAAGCCCTGGCGCGTCCCGACGCTGATGCACCTACGCACGCCGTCGTCATGAGGAGATGGCGCAGGAGCATAGCGCACGTCGCGTCTTGGTTGAAGCTCACGTAGAGCACTTGGCTCTCCGGGTCCGTCGACTTGAGGCCGAGCGACATGATGATGGTCTTCTCGAGTGGGTCACCGCCGGAATCTTCGAGCTCCGCGTCTTCTTCTTCGAAGTTCGCGCTTGGCCTCTTCGATGTTTCATGTCCGGTTTGTATCCGGATGCCCAACCAAGATCGCAACTTCAACATGATGGGCTGCCAATGCACAGCCGGCAGCAATGTGCAGGGTCGATGATGCAGCTCAAAGACCTCATGCAGTCTCAAGCGTCCTATTTGCCATTGTCTCTCCAAGCGGTGGCAAGTGTAGTCGCCACTTGAGGGCGGTAGCTCATGGCTGACTGTCTCGAGCTGAACGATCTGAGCACATGTCGATAGAGATATATGCCGACATCTAGAAGACCTCCAACTCGTGGCAAGCCCCACAATTTACGACAGCTCATTTGCCTGCGGGGGCACGGCCATCGCGATCCACGCGATCCACGCCATGACGACGACGACTGGCCCTATCATCGCTGCAAGGTGCGTAACGACCGAGCCGCCAAAGTACAAACCGCCGGGGGGTCGGCCCCTGGTGTAGTGGTCGAGGCGTTCCACTTAAATTCGAGCTCGAACGGGTTCAAATCCAGCTGCGCGCATGCAAATTCAATTGGCCGACCTCCTGCCTCTGCGCGGTGTACCCAATCGGAAGAACCGCCGTGCCGTAACCCGTTCGGGATTGGCCAAGCGGGCGTCGTTACTCACTTAGCCTCGAAGGAAAACCTCCCACAACAAATCACCAAAAATACGCACTCTCGCCAAAAGACGCCCGCCTCTCAACGCACCGTGTAAACAAAACAGAAAAACCTGTAGGAAATAATATCTCAATAGACCCAGTCCAACAACAACAACAAAGCGCGACACCACAGCAGACGCAAGGTACATGATATCATATTCGTGTACACTGCACTCAAGTCGGCAAAGGACCAAATGTGCCAAGCGACAGAAATCACGCAACGACGTCCCCGTCGCCTGGCCCTCCGTGTACTGTGTTGGCGACATCTCGAAGCGCGGTCGTAAACTTCGAGCACAACCAGATGGCTCATTGACAAAACGTGTGGGCGGCTTCAGGAACACACCAAGATATTCGCAAGTGGAGAGGCTCATTGGCATGTCACCACCAACCCGCCTCGCTGCAGGCCTCGCACTCGATTCCCTTCGACTACAACGTAGACGCTGGCAATTGTATCGTCGTCGTTGAACCGAAGTTCGAAGTCCGTCGGTCGCGTGTCAAGCCGAACGACTGGTGCTATTAGCGTGGACCGACCGATCTACAGGGTACTACACTGGCACCCACTGCAAACGCAGCGCCAGCCATTATTGCGCAACTGCCCAGCATGCATCGAGTCGTACGCACAGTCCTGCTGCTGCTTGCGCTCGCCATTCCGCCCGCGTCGAGTCTGCACGCGTACCGCAATGTGGTCTACTTTCTCGAGTGGGGCATCTACCGCGACTTCCACATCGCCAATCTCGACTGGTCGCGCATCACGCACGTCAATTACGCGTTCGCGATGCCCCAAGTCGACGGCTCGATCACTTTTCTAGACGAGTTTGCGGCGACCCAGCGCGTCTACGGGCGCGACTTGGGCATCGGCGCCGTCCAGGGCTGCTTTGGCCAAGCCAACAAGTACAAACGCGCGTTCCGTGGAACCAAGTTTGGTCTCTCGTTTGGCGGCTGGAGCGGCAGCGGTCCGTTCCCGACGATCGCAGCTTCGCCGAGCCTCCGTGCGACCTTTGTCGCCAACGCCGTCGCGCTGCTCGAGGACCTCGGCCTCGACTTTATCGATCTTGACTGGGAGTACCCGACGTTAGCGCAGCTGCCGCATTTTGCGACGCTTCTGGCCGACATGCGCGCCGCCCTTCATGCGCTCCCGTTCCGCACCGAGCTCAGTATCGCCGCACCGGGGTTTCCCGCCAACTGGGGTAAGGAGTCCATGGCAGCCATTTGCAGCCACGTCGACTTTCTCAATCTCATGACGTACGATTACCTGGACGCCGTCTTGCTGACGCTTACGACTGTAGGTACGAGTATACCGGTGCGTGGAGCCGCCGAGCCGGGTACCACAGCAACCTCTTCCCCAACCCGCACGCACCCGACGGCCTTCGCAGCTCTGTGAGCAGTGCGGTTCAGTACTACTTGACGCGCGGATGCCCATCTGAGAAGCTTGTCATGGGCGTCCCTCTCTACGGCAAGTCGTTTGAGCGGACGCGGGGGCTCTTCGCCCCGTTTGCGCCGCCAACGTCCGGCTCCCACGCCCCCGACGGGCTCTGGGACTACAAGGACATTGCTCGGCATGCGTCGCCCACGTTTGATGCGGTGGCGCAGGCCACGTATGCGTACAATGCGACCACGCACACCGTTCTCGTGTACATTTCGTAACCCTACCCCCGAAAGTAACCCTACCCCGGATAGGTACGACGACCCTAAGTCTGTCGCGGCCAAGGTGGCGTACATGCAGGCCCATCGCCTTGGCGGGCTCATGTTCTGGGAGGCATCCGGTGACGCGGCAGCGGGCTCGAGCGCGTCACTGCTTACGACGTACGCGTCGCTGGTCGGCAAAGAAGACATGGATTTCCGACCCAACAACTTGTGGTACCCGCACTCGCGCTACGACAACATTCGTCGTCCGCCGCTCCTCGGGGGGTTTACGCCCTAACCTTTTTTCTGTGTTTGTCAATATATCCGTAATAGTCTACTAGTACTTGTAGGCTTTGATTGCGTGGTAGCGCTGGAGGAGCCCGCGCCGGTAGCTGACGCCGCCCGGGTTGACGCGGCGGAGTAGCGCTTGGAGACTCGCCTTTGCGCGCTCAGCGAGCTCTGCGTCCGACTCGCCGTCGCGCGGCACGATGGGCTCGCCAAAGACGAGGCCGGCGCGGACCGGCACGGGCAGGCTCCAGAAGGTCCAGACCACAAACCACACGTACATGCGCAAGTGAATCAGAACCCAGCGCCATGGCATGGGCGTCGCCGCCGTGAGCGCTGCGTAGGCGCGCGAGAGTCCCAATAGATTCCACGTGTACCCAAAGACGTTGAAGAACATTTCTTCGCCGTTCCGCGTCACGTACGGCACGATCGTCGCGCCCACGTGCTGCGCAAGCCTTGCAAAGCCGCGGCGGTCGCGCCCCGAGCTGCTCTTCCTACACCAACACGCCATGTGGCGTGGACAAGCTCGCGAGATGGTACCAGAGAAGTGTGTACGCAGACTCGAAGCCGAGCATCGCTTCTTCGCCGCCGCCTGGGATGCACATACAGTTGCGCCCGGCGTCGTACATGGCAATCGCATTAGCTTGCGTGCCGGAGATGCCGCCGACCATACGCAGGAATGGACCTACGCCACCATGAGCGCGGATTACTTCGGCTGGTGAAGGACCCAAGAAAAACATGACTACAGTGTGCACGAGAGCACACGGGAGGTCGCCCGTTGCTTCGTAGATGCCTGCTGCGCTCGGGAAGAGGTCGTGGTTGTGGATCGAGTGGTAGCCGACATAGAGAAGACGACCTTCCTTGGGGATGTTCTCTTGACCTAGAGGAAGCTACAGGAGACACGTTGGGTGCGGCGAGACCTTCAAGGTGCCAGTCGTAGAAGCGTTCGTAGAGCGGGTAGAAGATCTTGTAGGCGGCTTGGAAGGCGCGGGACTGCGCATAGTCGACTCGTACCATTTTGAAAAGTGGATTCGCAAGAGCGCCAGAAGCAAACGTGCGTGGTCAACCTCCGTACCGGCTCGGTTACGCGACGATGCCATTGGCCGTCCCGTTGCATCGCAATCGCAACGTACTTTTCGGTGGGCCACCATCCACTGCTGTTCTCAGCCTTTTGTGATATTGACAGTTGGGCAGCATGACCTTGGAAAATAACTTGAGCTTGATGTGCTATCGTTTACAACTGGCAACATAGATTTTGTTCCGCAAATGCACCCACGACAAACGCGTCAACTGCGTTGGGTAGCTGCCACCGGCCGTAGCGGCGATGGCAGTAGACGTCGGCATTAGCAGGGGGCATCCGCTTCGGTGCGCACCACGCTTTCTTGTCTGCCTCGAGAAAGGCTCTTTAGCTTCTCTAAGAGTGCCAACTCGCTCCGACTGCAGCGCGCGTGGTTGCAGTCATTTGAACTCGTTGCGACCAGTGCACGCACACAGGCCAGCGCCACGGGACCTGTCTCCCAGCGTCCGTTGCGCCTGCTCGATTGCGCTGGGCGGAGATTGGGCAACAGCAGAATACGCCGAGCTCGTGAGTCTGCTACGTCAAGCAGCCGTCGCGTTCACGCGAATCAACGCCAGAGCCTATTTCGAGGTGTACGCGCGTAACGTTTATGACTCATGGGGGCTGCCGTGAGCGACTACTTCACTGACCCCACCGATGTCTCGGCGGGCTACGTCGGTACGACGTTGGCCACACAAGGCCTTGGTGACCGACTCGGTGTCGTAGATATTCCGGACCCGCTTATCATTATTCACCACGCGTGCGCCAAGGCGCGTCACCACGTCGCGAGTATTTACTTCAAGAAGGGCGGCGACCCGAATGAAAAGTGCTTTGAGGAGGACGATACCTACGTACGTAGCGGTATCCACGCCCCAAGTATGCAAGTGCTCTAGGAACGCGATGACACGCCCATGATCTGCGCCGCAAGGTACGCACCTTTACCTGCAATAGCTCGACAGGTAACACCATCAGGGGCTGCCCCGACGTGCCGGGTGGGACACCCAAGCACGTGGCAACCATGGAGATCGTGCTCCTCTACGGCGGCGACGTCAACGCGTACAACAAGGTCCTATACGATACATCGATGACGACATCTCGCAACGGTTGCAAGACTAGGTGCACCAAACCCCCTTGTACGTAGCGATTCAGAAGGGCTATCTGAACATTGCCGCCTGGCTCCTCGTCAATGGCGCCAACGTCGACCTTTGCGACTCGGTACGCAGTCACTTCTGCCATGGTGTGACGACGGATGCTGCAGGTCGGTGTCTCACCGCTTTTGCTTGCAGCCCGGCTCGGCCGCGCCGACTTGGTGACGCTCTTGCTGGACAGCAAGGCCCGCGTGGCCGCCCCACGGCGACGCGCCAGTTGCCTCAAGGTACACGCACCTGGACGTGAAAATATACAGTTTCGTGCTCTAGTTTCCGTCGCTGGCCGAGGAGAATGCCACGTACGCTGTCTACTTAAGTGTCTTCCGCAATACGTACGTAGATTCACACCCGAGATTCAAGCGCTCTTGGCGAGCGCGCTCCAAAAGGAGGCGGACGCGAACGCGGCGCGGATGGCAGGCCAGCAAAAAAAAGACGCTCGCGCCCACATGGAGCTGCTCAAAGTCCAGCTGCAAGAAGTGCGCCAAGCGACGCGCCGGGCGAACGTGGAAGCGCGATTGCTGCAAGCCCACGCCAAGGCGCATACACCTGTTGTCCTCACAACGATACCAGCCCCCGCCCCCCCCGCGTTCACCCCCGTGCGCCACGGCGGCGGCACGTGGGTCAAGAAGAAGCCCAAGCCGACGCCGTCGCTTGCGGATCACTTTCGGTCGTCGCCGGCGCTCAACCGGATTCACTCGGCACCAACCGAGTGGACATTTGTGAAAGCCGACTTTTCGAGCGTCGAGTCGCTGCACAAGCACGACCTCATGCACAGCTCGAGTGAGCTCTACGCAAGCTTACAGCGGCGCCGAGCGCTCACGGCGGACCCACGCAACGTTCAGTCGGCGCCCGACATATCGGTGCACCGACGAAATGCGCTTGCCGTGCGCCCACATACGACCATTGCCGTCCAGGCGCGAAGATAGCGTCTTCGCAATATAAGCAAGCAATGTGAGCTTAGTTGATACTGTACGACGGGATGTTTTGCGCGAGGATCTCTTCGGGAAAGCAGTCGTTTGGCGGACGCGCGTAGACCCGCACCGCGCCGTCGCGTGCGCTGACGGCAATCGATTTGGCTCGAAAAACCACGTGCGTCGCGGGCCCTTCATAGAGCGTCGCGGTCAGCGTCGGTGCCGACAGAATGCGACAGGCCACCGCCGAGGTCTCGTCGACCTACCTCTCGTTAGCGACACGCGTCAATGACGAAGGATGCAGTACGTCGCTTAGTATGGGCACGTCCCAGAGACAGAGCATGCCGTCTTCGCCGACCGAGCCGAAGCGCAGGTGCTGCGGCGAGCAAAACCACTCGTCGAATGCAACACTCGTGACCTACACGGTGGTCAATCCGTGAGGAGCGAGATGGCGTCGTACCCACGAGCGGTGACCTTCGCAGCGAACGATGGCAGCGTTGTGGCGAAGACTCCAGAGCGTCACGCAGTCGTCTTGGCCGCCCGACTAAACACATATAAGAGGCTTCTTGGTCCTTGGACGGTCGTACGAGGAGGTAGTTGCTGTCGGGGCTCCACGCAAGCGTCGTGAGTGCTCCAAACACGCTCTTCATGAGCGCAATTTTCCTACAGCAGCCATACAATAGAGGGCGCTCCGAGATACGATAGGCGAGTAGCACCGCTGCAAGTGAAACTGCACGACGGTCAGCGACCCGTCCCGACCCGCAAGCGCAAGGTACTTGCCATGGGGCGAGAAGGCCACGTCATAAATCGCCGAGCCCGACACCTTCCAGTGCAACGTCGGGTTCACACGGTCTTCGCGCTGGCTCCGAATCGGAAAGTCCGGACTCTCTTCGCTCACGAGGCTCGCGATTGACTCGTCTCTCCATGTATGGTCGTACAGGAAGAGGTCGCCCGACTCGTGCGCAACGACAAACTCAGTGTGGCTTTGGCCGACCCACTTGACGGTGGTCACGGGGCTGGCACAGATTTGGCCCTACGCAGTCTGTACAGCAATGCTATCTTTTAAGCAGTCATTACCCCGCGGTTGTGGTGCGAGTAGGTGTCGAGGCCGTGGAGCGGGTCCAAGACCACGATGTCGGACGAGAGTAGCGCGAGGACGACGTTCGTGGGCTGCGTCGGTAGCATCGGAAGGCGAAAGTCGTGGCAAATGGGCGTGCTGTTGAAGCGCATCACGTCCACCGGCGCCTACGCGGCGGCGTCATCCTTTGCAAAGTGCAATCTCGCACCTCAAACGACGGGAACGGGTAGACAAAGACGTAGTTGAGGACGTTGTGCAAGACAAACACATCGGGCTGCTTGGCCGACCGAGGCGTCTCGGCCATGGTGCGGTACGGGATGAACGTCTTGGTCTCGACGAACGAGAGGCTGCATTTGCGGTTCCAATGGTACCGGCGGTGCGCAAGGACGTCGCGCTCGTCGTCGTCGTCGTCGTGGCCGAGTGGTACGTTCATCACGTGGAGGCCTGCGCGCTTGTCCAGCGACGTGAGCGCGTCCATCGAGTCGAACGCGCGCTCGAGCATGTAGATGCTGCCCGTCGCTGCGCGCAGCTCGCCACCCGCGACGCCGCCGGTCATGCCAATTTCGAATTATAAAGTGCTGTGATTGGCTAAAATCGTAGAAATAACAGCACGTGATTGGTGGCGATGCGATCTTTTGGTGTCCACGTGGCAGCGACACAGCCTCGGACGACAAGCTTTCTTGCGAGCACATGCAGCTTGCGCAGTGGTCGCGTCATGAACTCGCACAACAGCTACGGTGACTCTCAGCGCGTCACGCCGCTGCCAGGGATCTATAAGCAAGGAATACGCACTTATTTCCTTGGTTCCAGACGTGTTGTTGACAGGATGCAGTCGCCATATTTCTTGTATTGTGGACGCCCATGTCTGCACCAAGGTTAATGAAGTATGAACGGCGTTATCGACCCTTGCTGTTGCTCTTGCCTCTTCACGTAAAGTACGGGGACCAGTGGCGCGACCCGAGGTCCATTTCGTGCAAGTGCTTGAAGCTGGATTGACGCAGAATCCGGGTTCGATCCACAGAGACGATGCGAATCGAGCCGATCGAACGGCTGAAGAGCGTTCTGAGAAAGGTCGTTGGAAGCAAGCGGTAAATGAGCTCGTACTGGACGTTGGACGTCCGTGTCAGCACCATGTCGGACACTTGGAGCATGTTTTTGACGAGCAGGACGCCGTGGTCGATGCCAATGGCTCCGTCGGCCGTCGACACGAGGAGCCCGTGGGGCGATGTGAGGACGCTCGACAAGTCACTGATCTCGAGGTACCCAAGCACCGAGTTGGTCGCTGCCGCCTTGACCTTGTCTCTCTTGCAGTACGACGAGTGGACGTTGACGCAGAGGATCGCAACGATGACGACACTGGCCGACGCGATGGCCGACGCGTAGTACGTATGCGCGATCGCATCGAACGCAAAGCAGTTGCTCGACGAGGCATGGTAACATGGTCCCGGCACGATGCGGCTTCTCGCTGGAAACACAAACGCCTCGAGCACAAACACCAGACTCCAGTTGACGAGGCTGAACACCAGAAGGAGCCACGTTTGCGTCACGAGTCGCGGGTTGAACCACATTTGGATAAGCGGCCCTGTCATGATGCCGACGATCGACGCCAGTTGCGCGGCGCCGAGCCACTTGTAGTACTTGGGTGTTTCAGCGCTGGGCTTCATGGACAAGTACGTCGTCAGCGCCTGGAGGTTCATGTTGCCGTAAAAGCTCACAAAGAGGATGGCGAGACCGACAACGGTCTTGGACATGTAGACGGGCACGCTGCAGATGGCGCTATGGCGCAAGAAGACGAGCTGCAGCGCCACGAGGTACGCGGTCAGCAGCCAGAGCACGGCGCTGTTGGAGAGCATGAGCGCATCGCTCTCCCAGATCATGGTCACCAGTCCCTTGCACATAAAGAGCCAACCAAGCCCCGTCTCGGTGTTGAAAGTCGCGCAGCTCACCGCGGGGAGGAGGTCCCACGGCGCAAAGGTGCGAAGCATGCCGTACTGGTACTCGTCAAAGAAGGTCAGTGTATTGAGGCGCACGGTCGCCGCCTCGTTGCGGAACGTGGCGAGGTACCCTGGGTTCATGTACACGTCACTGCGCGGCGCGACGCCAAGGTATCTCGCTTCGCCTTTGCCGATACGAAGCGCGTACGTGTTGGCGTCCTCCGAGACGTCGTTCTCACAAACCCAGTTCGGATCAAATTTGCGCTGCGAGCAAAAGACTACCGAGTCGATGACGGCCGTCGATGGCGATGACGTTGCGACGTAGAAGCTCGCGCGGCGCACCATGCACGTGATCGCCATGTCGTGCCCCGATATGTACATCTGCGCCATGGGTTTGTTCCAGCCGCTGAGGTTGTTGATGTGCGAAATCACAACGGTCTGGGTCGGGTCCTGGAAGAGTGGCTGGTCAAAGCTGGGAATCAACGCCAGAGCCTTGACCACACTGCGCCAGATCTCGTTGGACGACGGGAGAAACGACGCCGCGCACGCCTGGTCGTCCTTCTTGCAGAGCTTGTAGAGCAGCGTGCTGAGCGACAGCGTCGCGTCCAAGGGCTGCGTCGATGCGAGCGGAAGCGCCGTTTCGCCCTTGAGCACGACGTTGATCGGGACGTTGAATTGGTTGCTCGTGAACGTCTGGAGGTTGAGCCCCATGAAGAGTGGCGTGTTGGCAATCGTGGAGAGCGTGTACGTGCTCAACGCCACCAACGTAGCCAAGGCCAAGTAGACCAGCGCCAGTACGAGCCCCGAGCCGAGCTTCCACGCTTGCTGAGATTGTCGCGTCGGGTCGTCGTACGGCAGCACCCGCGTTACCAGCATTTAGCTAGTATGGCGTTACTTTAAACAGGCAACCCGAAATAGTCAAGAGCATGTAGACCCTTGGGGGGGGGACCCTTCCCCCGCTTTAGCCGAATTTCAAATGTTGAGATTCGGATGTGTCCGAATTTCGCCCGCAGAAACCACATGGCCTTGTGGCAGAACGATCCATGAGCGACTACTGCGTCCGCTGCAAGCATGGCTCGAACGCCAGCCTCGACGAGTCGTACGTCAATGTCCACGCGAGCGCGATGAACCCGGCCATGTCGACGCGCGACGCCTCCTTGAGCCACGCCGACGTGAGCTCGCACGTCAAGAAGATGCAGCGCCTGCATGTTGTCGCGGACGGTGTGGCGACGGCCTCGCTGACGTCGCCGCAGGCGTTCTGCACCGACTGCCTCCATCTGCTCACGACGATGCTCGAGAAGAACAACGAGAACGCGCGCTACGAGAAGCGGGTGCTGGCATCCTTCCTCTCGTCAACGCCCAAGACCAAGTCGCCGCCGCCGGTCCGGCGCCGCACCCATCATGATCGCCTCATGCAGTCGATGCGCGACGAGCGAGTGCGCATCGAAGCCGACCTCGAGCGCCTTGAGCTCGAGATGGCCGAGCTCGAGTACGACGAGATGGCCGTGTGGGCGTCGATTGACGACCGCATGTGGGCACTGGCGGCGCAGCGCGAGCTTCGCGACATGGAGATCGCGCGCGTGGCCACGATGGAGCAGCGCGCGCGGGCGATCCGGCGCCTGAACGTCGCGAGCGACGCCTTTTACATCTGGCACAAGGGCCCGTTCGGGACGATCAACGGCTTCTCGATGGGCCGCCTGCCGACGCAGCACACGGACTGGCACGAGATCAACGCGGCGTGGGGCGAAGCGACGCTGCTATTGCAGCACATTGCCGAGTGTCTCGGCGTCGCCTTTCACAGGTGACCCTTGTCGCTAGCGCCACGTCTTCAAGTCGCCTGTAGATACCGCCTCGTCCCGCTCGGGAATGCGTCCAAAGTGATCCGGCTGCAGCGACCCGAGATGGAGTACCACCTGTACGACGCTCGTGTTCCTATTCGCGCTCGTGACGTGAGGCTATTAGGCACGGGTCGGACCAAGACGCCTTCCCCGAGAGCTTCTTCAACCTCGGCATCGCCGCGTGGCTCGACTGCCTCGGTCATCTCGAGACGTGGGTCCTCGAGCGCGACCTGAGCTTCCGACTTCCGTACAAGGTTCTTCCCGCGACCTCTGCATGTGCTCGACGATGCTTGTAGATTACAGCCTCGGACGTGGGCAACTTTTCACTGCTGTTCCTTCGCGACGACGAAGCGTGGACCAAAGCCTCCAAGAATGCTCTCACGAACCTCAAGTGGCTCCTCGCGTGGTCGGCCAAGCCGCTGCCAGCAACGTCGTAAACAGCTAATGTACTAGTTGTGGCTTTATGTGGTGGTGTTATTTACGCTATCTGATCTACTCACGACTCGTCGCCGTCGTCGTCGTCGTCGTCGTCGTCCAAGCCGGCAACGTCCACGGACCGCTTCTCGCCACGGTGCGCCGAGAGGCAAAAATGCAAGAGGAGCTCGGCCTCCGGGTTGGCTGGCTCGCTTGGCAGCTCGTCCTCGACAACCATCGGCAAAGGCGGCTCGGGCGCGACGGTGGGCTTGGCACGCTTTGGTCGCTTGCTGTTCGCTTGTGGCGGCGCAACCTCCTTGGCCGCACCATTCGGCGGCGGTTTGTACGCGAGCGACGAGAAGAACTCTTCTTCGAGCACGCGCAGCGTCTCAGTGGCCTCGCGCACGGACGCTTCCGTGACACTCGACGAGTCGAGCGCGCGGAAGATCTGCTTGCCGATCGAGCTGTTGCCCTTGAGCTTCTTGGTCACGCGCATCGCTTCGCAGTTGAGCTTCTTGCTGAGGTACCACCGCAGTGACGTGCCGTCTTCAATGTCGAGGAGCCCGAGCCGGAAGTAGTGGATCATCGTGTTGGTGAACTTCTCTTCCTCGGGCGTCCACTTGCCAGAGCGGAGACCCGGCGGACACTTGCTCTTCGTGGACCGCTTCTCGTTGAGCGGGTCCACGAGCGGCTTGGCCGCGGCGCGCTGGGAGGCGGCGCGTGGCGGTGGTGTTCGCTGCGGCGCGTGGCGGTCGCCCGATCCCTTGGGGGTGAGCAGCGCGCGGCGCTTTTTTGCAAACGGCCGCGCGCGCTGCACCCACGCTGTGTCTTGCTCGTCGTCGGGCGTCGTGTCGTCGGACGACTCGTCTTCTTCGGTGCGCGACTCGGCCGTCGGCGACGCTGTGTACAGGGGGTTTTCGACGCTCTCGGGTTCGGGCACAAAGTCGCTCCGCGATGCATGGGTCGCGTACGACGGGATCTCGTCGAGCGGGTGCATAAGATAATGGGGCGGCTTGGACTTCCGGACGACGACCGCCGGCTTGGGCAGGCTCAGAAAGGGCCGCGACGTCGGTGATGTCGACGTTGTTGCTGTGGACGATGGCATTGGCAAGGACATGCTGGGCTGGTCCGCGCGCAGACTCAACATGGGTTGGGCGAGTTGAAGTTGTGGCGACGGTGGGCGACGGGATCGTATGGCCGACTCGGCGGCTGTCGCAGTCCGTGGAGCGTCTTCGAGGCGCGTCGGCGGCAGGGCAATGGTGCTAGTACGTGGCGCAACGACAGAGCTGCTCGTTGAGGCCACCAAGTTTGCGGAGGGTCGGAGAGCGCGCTTCAAGGACGTCCAGGCTGCCGCGTCAAGCAAGCTGAAGTTCTCAAAACCAACAAGTACTCACGACTTCAACGAATGCAAAACGAGGTGCGGTCCGGATACGTGCCCGAAAATCCATTCCGTATCCGGATATCCACGGCCACGTTCTTTTTTTTAATTGTATACAAACGGCCTGTATGAACCAATGTTTTTTAGTGGCGGCCGCAGCCAACTTCAAGGTCGTGGGGGAATTAACGAACTCTGTGCAGTCGTTGCAAGATTATTTTGAGTTACTTTCCCCAAGAATTCCGGTTTGGTAAAAAAAATATACTCGCGTTGGGACCGCGGCCAATAAAATACACTGGATGTTTGTATGCAAGGCATTCACGCCGTTGACGAAACGTGCACCGGCGCATGTCCTATGGCACGTGCGAATTAAAGTAGGATCCTTTTTTGCTTCAAGGTCGCATGTTCCAGCGGCCAGCGGCAAGTCCGCCGCCGGTGGTGCCCGCCATGGACGCGGATGCATATGGCTTCGCCGGAGGGCAGGCGCTGTATACTGAGGACGATGACGATGCCAACGACGGGCTGCCGTCGTCGACCGGCGACTTGTACTTTGTGGTCGACGAGCGCGCCGACGCCGGCGAGCCGCTGTACATACAACTGGCAGCACCGGTACCGTACCCGTGGATAACGACGCCAAAGCATGCAAAGCGCAAGCGCCACAACCACTTGACCATATCCGTGCCCACGGAAAGCTCGTCCAGCGACCACGAGTCGCCGCGCGCCGTTGCACCATCCCGTCTCGACGCGCTCCTCGCGCCAGCGCTGCCACCAGTACCCGTGACCAAGGAGCATCGCCTCGACACGCTCTTGGCCCGCGTCCGAAACAAGATCCTCACGCGACAGGCAGAGGACAGCTCGCGCCTCCGTCAATCGCTCGATCGCGACTACTTGGCACCGGACGCGAGCGACTCGGGCGACGATGCGTTTGCGCTCGTCGCGCCGCTACTGCAGCCTCTGTCAGACAAGACGGGGATAGCACCGGCGTTGCACGACCCGCGCCATCGACAGCTCAAGGCCAAGCCACCCGTCGGCGACCTGCCGGCGCCGCCACGTGCGTTTCCGGATCCCCCGACGTCGTTTTTTCTGCCGTTCGTGCACGTGGTACCACCCAAGCGCGTCTTGCCGGCGGCGTCCCACATCGGCGTCACCAAGAAGAGCAACCCGCGTACGATCTACAATTGCGTCAAGTGCGGGCGCATGAAGCGGTCGCACGTGTGCGCCTTCTCGGACAATGTGCGCTCGATGGGCACGACGATGCTCCCGACCACGACGCCGCGCGACCATCTCTCGCGCTACTACAAGTGCGGCCGCGTGCTCGTGTGCCGGAAGCGACCACCGTCGAGTCCACCCCACGGGCCAGACAGATAGTTTATTTGCAGTCGCAACTAGAGGCCTACGAGACGCTCGTGGTCGCGAACGACCCGTTCAGTGCGTTCTCGAGCTCTTCGTACGCCTGTTTTTGCAGGTGCTGCGTGTTTCTTAACCGCTGGATGAGCTCCATCTCGAGCTTCTCCATTTCCTGGACCTATAAGACCTCGATAAGCAAACCCCAGTTGGGCTCGAAATGATAGCGTACTTCGAGCTCCTTTTCGTGAAAGACTTGCTCCTCGCGCTTGACAATACCGTCGGCGCGCGCCTTGTTGGCCCGCTCCAGCTCCGCCTACATACACGTAGAGGTGGCGTCTTGCTATATATTCCCAACGCACCTGCTTGGTGCGCTTGGTGCGGCGCAGCTGGTCTTGCTGCTTGACAATGTCTTCGCGCCGGCGAATCGCATCTTCGAGCTCCTGGCGCTTCTTCGTCTCGGTGTACTGCCGCCATTTTTGCTTGTCTTCCTTGAGCTGTTGTGCTTCGTTGCGCTTTTGTTCGAGGATCGCTGCATCAATCTCCTTCTACGCAACGCAGGGTCGATGTGCAAGGACCATGGAAGCACGAACCTTCTCGGAGGCGAGGACGACTTCGCGCTTGGCCTGCTGGATCGTATGGAGCTCGCGCTCGGCCTGCGTCATGAGCGCATTGCGCTCGCGCGCGTACTGGTCCTTCTCTTGGCGCAGCTTGAGCAGCTCGTGTGCCCGCTTCTTTGTCTGCTCAATCTTCTTCCACGCCCGCGCTTCCTCGGCCTGCCATGTACGTTCATGCGATGACGACGAAGCGCATGGAGGTACCTTGAGGAGCGAGATGCGGTTCTGCAGCAGCATGGCATCGCTCGAGACGTCCTTCCGCCGCTACCTCGGCGCATGAAGAGATGCAGCATGCGCCATGACGCACCTGCTTGGCTTCGAGCAGCTTGGACTTGGTCTGCGACTCCATGACACGATGGGAAATGAGCCGAGATTGCCGTTGCGCCTATTTATAGGACGCGCCAACGGCCTGGTATACGTTATCCAAGACGATTGCGTCCTAGCGTATATGTAGCCTAGTTGAGTTTGGAGCCTAAAGAGTTCATACAAATTTACAGTATATTGGCTGGCACGCCGCCACGCATGTTGAACTTCTGCCCTTTCTAGTCCAACCTCGGGACCTTCTACATGTAGTACTTCAAGCACCTCCCAGATAGCTCTCCCAGATGCCAACACGTCCTTTGCGTCGGCCAAGGGTGCGCGTTGTCGCCAGCTGTCTTTGGCGGGCACCGTGTCGACCTTGGCCACGAGACCCAAGCGGCAGCGTGCGACAGGATCCGAGTTATGACATCGCAAATGCAAATATGGAATTAATCTATGGTTTAAGAATGGCCGGGCCGGGCCTTCTTGCGGCGCTCCTGGGCGGCGGCCACCTTTTGCGCCTTGTTCTGCGAGCCCTTGAGCTCGCCGATCTTGCGCTTCTTGAGCTGCTTGGAGTTTTGCTTTTGGAGGTTCTTGGCCAACTTGCGCTTGGCCGCGACTTCGGGGTCAGCGACCACTTCGATCTTGCGCTTGAGCTTGCGCCGGTCGCGGAACTCGGTCACCTTCTTCTGCACGTGCGTGTACGTCGTCAGGAACGGCTGCGACTCGACCTTGGACTCGAGCAGCTGGAGCACTTCGCGCGCCACGTTCTTGACGTTCTTGGTCTCAGCCGAGTCCGACTCGACGTCGTCCGCCGACGTGTCGCGGTAGAGCGGGTTGAGCATCTGCAAAAGCACCGTCTCCAAGAACGCTGCATCTTCCTGGACGGCGACGCCCGCGAAGAAATTGTATACGCTCGTCTTGCGCAGCGCAATGTCAAACCCGCGGGCCAAGAACGAGAGACGGGTAAAGAGCCACGCCACGGGCGTCGTCGTCGGCTTGGCCTCTTCGTCGTCCTCGTCGTCCTCGCTGTGCGTCGTCGTCTCCTCTTCCTTGGTCGCAACGACCGTTTGGCCAATCTCGGGGAAGCTCCGAAGCGCGCGCAGAATAAATAGCAGCAGCGTCACGACTTCCGAGGCAAGGTCCGCCGCGAGGTGGTCACTCTCGAGCTGCTTGCACGCCATGTGTGCCAGCTGGAAGAGCTTCCCGGGCGTCTTCAAGTACGCGCCGCCGTCCTTGTCCGACTCGGCGACAAACGTGAGCGTCGACGCCGACCGCTTGGCCGCATATGCACTCAGAAAGCGCGTCGCCGCCAGACGCACCCACGCGTGCGGATACGCCATGAGCGCAACCACCGTGTCGAGGCACGACGCGTTCTCAAACAGCCAGGCCTCGAGCGACGGCGAGAGCGACCGAAGGACCTTCTCGAGGCAGAGCAACGTCAAGTACACCGGCTCCCACGTGAGCTCCTGGATCTCATCTTCGTCAAGTTCGCCCATGTGCGCGGTCGCGTTCGTGAGCAAGGACGCGATCTGCGACAGGAGCGGCGCCACCAGCGTCTTCTTGGCAAGGTCGGGCCGCGCGACGACCACGAGGCTGCTCACGTGCGCGGCCGCACACTGGAGCTTGGCGTCCGACGCACTCCACCACGGCTCCATGGTCGCGAGGCACGCGCCAAACGTCTTGGCGCTCACCCGCTGGAAGAGGTGCGAGATGACGTCGGCCGCGAGCGACCGGCACACTTGGGCTTCGTCGTTTACGAGCCGCAGCACAAGCGGCAGCAGGAAAAACTGCGCGCGCGCATCGAGGAGGTCGGACGGCAGCTTCTTCACGAGCGCGTTGAGGCACTCGAGCGTCGAGATGCGGCCCGACTCGTACACAAACGTGAGGTTGTTGACAATGAAGCGCACGTGGAAGTTGAGCCGCTTGTCGCCGAGCGGGTAGTCGAGGAGAAACGTGAGGTACATTGCCGCGCAGTTGGTGCGCACGTTGAGCACTTGGCTCTGCACCATCATCTCGCCGACGCGGAGCATGAGGTCGTACACTTCGGGGATCACGAGGCGGCGCGCGAGGAGCGCCTTGAGCAGCGCAAACGTCGCGTTCTGGTGGTCCATCTCGTCGAGGTCTTGGCGCAAAAAGCTCAGGAGCACACGCAGCTGCGACTCGGACATGACATACTCGTGGCGCTCGCGGATCAAAACCGCGAGTGCGCGGTAGCACGTCTGCGTCATCTCGTTCTTGGTCGCGGCGCCCGCGCGCTGGATGATCTTGAAGATGCGGTCGACGACCGTCGAGAGCTGCGCAATGAGCGACGGCACCGGGTGGTTGAGCAGCACCGAGACACACTTGAGCGCATTCACGACCGACTCGTCGTGCTTGATCTCGGCGAGGCACCGGAGCAGGAAGGGCACGAACGGGTCCAAGAGCGCAAACGAGAGCCCCGTGCGTTCTTCCTTCCGGAGCATCGTGTAGAAGAGCGAGACGGTGAAGTTCATAATCTCGTCTGCGCCCGAGTTCTTCATCTCGGTCTTGGTGACTGCGTACCGATCGTAGCCGGTCATGCGCGCTTGCGCTTCAATCTTGAAGGTCTCCCACGCCTGGACGCGCTTGGTGAGCTTGGCCTTCTTCTTCTCGTCGCCGACCCAGTCGCAGACGAGCCAGGACGAGACGCCGGCTTCGTCGACACTCTTGTTGTCGTTGGCGCCCGGCTGGAGGTACTTGATGCGGTCAAAGCACATGGTGAGCATGTTGAAGATGTACAAGTACATGTGCGACTGCTCGACGCTCTTGTTCTTGGCGAGGCCGAGCGCGATGCGCTGGAGCACGTTGCGGACGTTCAGCAGCGCCTTGCCGTTCATGCGGTTGCTCTCGAGCGTCTGCACGATGGGCAAGAGAAGCACGTGGATCGTCGGGTTGGGCAAAAAGTTGATGCAGCGCGCAACGAGCTCGAACGAGTCGTAGCTGCGGCACGACCGCGCCTCCTTCATCTTGGACTTGGTCTTGTGCTCGGCCTTGTCGGCGCGGTGCTCGCTCACGTCGCCAAAGAGGTTCCGCACAAGGATGTTGAGGATCTTGGGAATGCACTCGTCGAGCGGCGACAAGATTGGCGTCGACGCGACGGCCAAGCCCGACGACGTCAGCGGCGCCGGCGTCTCCTGATAGCACGACTCGGCGACCTTCTCGAGGATCGCAAACAACGTGTACGAGAGCACGTGGACCATGTAGCCCATCGAAAGCGACTGCTCGAGCTCCGAGACGATCGGCAGCAGATACGACGGACCGAGTTCGAGCGCAATCTTGACAAGCGTCTGGCGCGACGACGACCGGACGCTGTCGTCCTTCGAGCGCTGGAGCTTGGTTACTTGGATGAGCAGCTTGGGCAGCTCTGCGTGGAACGCCCGCGGCGGGAGGCGGCGCAGCACCTTGACGATCGCCAGCGCGACTGGGACACGCAGCACGTAGTCGCCGGTCGCAGTCGACTGGCCGTCCGTCGTCTTGTCGTTGGTCTTGGACTTGCCCTTCTTGCGCTCGCCCTTGGTGAGGTGGCTCTTGAGCATCGGAACGAGCGAGTCGCGCATCACTTGCTGAATGTGCGTCGGCGGCAGTTCGTCGTCGTCCTCGCTCTTGGCGGCCGCCGCGACCTTGTCCCAGCCCTCGCAGACGACCGAGCCTTCAAAGTGGAAGTGGTCAATGATCGCGCAGACCGCCGCAACGATCGTGGTCTCGCACTCGGGTCGACCCGGAATCTGCTTGAGGAGGTTCCGGATGAGGCCGTAGTAGTGCGACCACGAGAGAAGCGACGCGGCCGACCCGAGGCACTGCGCGGCGTCGGTGGCCATTGCCTCGTGCGACTTGTTGCTGTTCTCGTAAATGACGTGTGTGAGCAGCGGCACGATCACGTTGAGGACGGTCGTGTTGCTCAGCGGCAGCTTCTCGTTCGCAAAGCTCGACCGCAGCCGCTGGATCGCGCGCGACCGGCGGTGCGACTGGATATGCGTCATGTTGTAGAAGAAGTCGACTTCCGGGTCTTCCTTGTTGCGGAGGAGCGCGAGGTCGCCGTGCAGCGACGGGTTCTCGTGGCCTTCGAAGGCGTCTGCGACCGTCGAGAGCAGCTGGATGAAGCCGCGGCGGGGCTCCTCGATTTGACCCTTGAGGCTGTAGCGCACGCACGGCATGACGACGTTCTCAAAGACGTGGAACGGCGTCGAGTTCGGCACGTCCTTCTCCGACGCCGCGAGCTTTGTGAAGCCTTCGAGGCCGGCACGCGCCGCGTTGCGCAGCGAGTACTCGTCGTCGTGCATGCTCTGCGCCAAAAGTTAGTCGTCGTCGCTATTATAGAAGAAAGGACGTACGTAGAGGTACTGGCTAATGATGGGCTGGAGCGTCGTCATCTCCTTCGCGAGCGATGCAAACTGGTCCGAGTTGATCACCTGGAAGACGCTGAGCCGGCGCTCAAAGTCGACGTCCTCGAGCCGCTTCGGGTCCATCGCGTTGAGACCAACGAGGTACCCGCACATGGCCTGGAGCTCTGCCGCGGCCGGGTGCGCTTCGATAGCGGCAAAGACGTCCATGAGCTTGAGCCGCGGGCCGCGCTCGTGGATGCAGTTGGGGCCGGGCGCAATGAGCTTGGAGAGGAAGCTCACGTGCTTGCGCGGGTCCGTGACGCACGGCACGAGGCCCGAGACGACGTCGCAAATGTTCTCCTTGTCCGCATACGACGTGCGGTAGCTGCGCGTGAGGAACGGCAAGAGGAGCGTGATGAGCTGATCGGCCGCGTCCGGCTGGACATTCGACTGCACGTGCGGCGCGAGGCGGCACAGAAACGTCAGCTCACGCTTGGACGAGCCCGTGTGCTTTTCCTGCATAAACTTGGCCGTCTTGGACTGGAACCGAACCACAAACTGCTGCAGCACGAGCGTCAAGTGCGGCAAGAGCATTTGATGCGGTGCGTCCGACGCCTCGTCCGCGCTGAGGAGGCCGCCGAGGAACTTGAGCAGCGTCTCGAGCGTATCGGCGCTGACGCCCATGTCGTACGCGGTCACGTCGTCGCTATCGAGTCCGGTCGAGAGACACGAAATGACCGTGCGGACGAGGTCGGTCGGGAGCGCGCGCACCGTGTACGAGCTCTGCGCAATCGACGTGAGCCACTCGAGGAGCGCGGACGGCTTCTTCGCTCCGCGCATCGCCGCCGGCAAGTGCGCGATCGACGAGTCGCAGAGCGAGAAGAGCGATGTGAAGCAGTCGTTGAGGTCGTACACGCCGTCAAACTGCTCGACGACCTCGCCGAGACGGCGGAAGACAAGCATGCGCGTCTGGCGCTTGAGGCCTTCGTTGGTCGTCGGCGCTTCGTCGTCGTCTTCGGTCGGCTTGTCCGTCATCTCGACGTCCTCGTCGTCCTCGTCGACTTCCTTCGCGATCGTCGACGCCTTGGCGATCTGCCCGAGGTCGCCCGCCGAGAGGATCGCCGTCAGCACCGAGAGGATCTGCGGCAAGAACGCTGTGACCTTCATACCGAGGTGCGCAATCACGTCTTCGAGCAGCTTGAGAAAGCCCACTTGCTTGGACGCCGAGACGTCCGGCATCACCGCCAGCACATCGCGCACGCGATCTTCAAACGGTACGACATCCAACGTCACAGGCACCCGGAACGCGCGCAAAATGAGCCCAAGAAAGTACGCGAGTTCTTCGGTTTCCAGCGCGACCAAGAACGAGAGCACGGTCGTGCGGCGCGTCGCGAGCGAGTCTTTTGAGCTCCGAGAGCCCTTGCGCGAGACAAACTTGGCGTAGAGCAAGCGCAAAAGCACCGGGAAGAACGGCCCGCGGTGCTCGGCGAGGACGACGCCGGACGCCTTGTCGACGCTGAAATTCGTCAGCGCCTCGCGGAACGTCGTGCTGTTGGTGAGCTGCGACAGCTGCGTCTTGTACGGCATCAAGTACGCCGGCTTGTAGGCGTAAATGCACTCGAGCGACAGCGCCGAGACGTGGTCGTCCGACTTGATGAGCAGCGCGTAAAAGAACTCCCAGAGCAGCGACGAGCCGTACACGCCGCTAAAGTTGGTGAAGCGCTTGAAGAGATGGAGAAAGCTAATGAGCTTCTCGCGCACGCCCTTGGTCGTCAGCTGCGCGTGCACGATCGGCGACGAAAGCGACGAGAGCGACGCCGTCAGAAGGCTGTCGTCGCTGGCGTACTTGGGGTTGGACGCGCGCGACGCCGCCGCCGACGTGATCAGCTCCGTGAGCGCGGCCGGCGTCACGTGCTCGGCGTCGTCCTTGTAGATCGCGTAGTACTGGTCGCGCAAGAAGGCGCAGAAGATCGGGACGACCACCTTGGACTTTTGCTCGACCAAGTTCGGAAAGCCTTCGAGTGTCTTCCACACAAGCCCGTGCTGCGTCGGAATGTCCGTCACGGCTTGGTTGACGCCTTCTTCGACCGACACGTCATCGGCGAGGTCTTCGCGCAGCGAGTGCGCCTCGTCGTCGCTCTCGATACTTGCGACGCTCTGGCTCGACGTGCGCGACGAGATGTAAAAGAGCTCGGCACAGAGCGTCGACCAAACAGCATCGAAATGCAATGGCACGCAGGCTTGGATGACGATCGCGACGTGCGGCCAGATGGTCGAGAACTTGACGTGGTTGAGCCCGAGCATGTGCGCCGTGATGAGCTTGACGTAGATCTGCGGCGTCTGCGGCGCGCGCGCAATGACCTTGAGCCGCTCGAGCATGCGAATGATGTCGCGCTCCGTCTCGACCGTCGGCTTGGAGCAGACGACTTCGAGCTGGAGGCAGAGCGAGACGGCTTCGCACTCGCCCTGGAGCGAGTTCTCACTCGTGTTCTCGTAGTGCAGCGCCGGGTGCAAGCCAAAGAGCTCGATGGTTTCGCGGCGCAGCGCCTGAATCGGCGACCGGAGGTTGTGCTGCAGCTTGGCAAAGAGCGCATGGAACGAGAGCGCGGGCAGTTGCGACAAATCCATCGTCTTGAGCAGCGCGCGCAGCGCCTGGAGCGTAAAGGGCGACGCTGCGTACGTATCCAAGTACGTTTCCAGCTGCGCCGACGTTGGCGCGACGCTCTCCAAATTGGCCTGCACGCGGAGGCACTTGGCGTGCAGCAGCGTGAGCACGACACGCGCCGTGTGCGAGCAGGCGCCACGCGCGAGTGCGGCGGCTAGCGACACGCGGAGGCGCTCGGTCATCACTGCAGCCTCGTTCTCGGGCACAACGAGCTGGCGAAGGCACTCGAGCGCCATGCGCAGCCGCGACGCATGCGCGACAAACGCGTCGTGGTCGTCGACGCTCCACGTGGTCTCAAAGAGCGCGCTGGCCATTTGGAGAAAGCGGGGCGTGGCGTCAGCTGGCACGAAGCGCAGCTTGGTCAGGTCGACCGTGACGACGTCGCCGCGGATGACCACCATGCGGCCGGACGGGATCTCGCCGGCGTTGCGCACCAAGAACGAGAGCACGTCGCTGAGGAAAAGGAGGTGCTCGTTCAGCGACGAGTCGATCAGCCCAAACGCAAAGGTCGTCACGTGCGGCGCGAGGTACTCGACGACGGCCGTGACCGGCATCGCCTGCAGCATCTTGTGTGTAAACTCGCGCAGGTGGCGCAGGAGCGTCCCTGACGACGGGTGCACGCTGTAGACCGACTTGAGGAGCGGATAGAAGCGCTCGTGGAGCGACCAGACGCAGGTGTTGAGGAGGTTGAGCGTCGACGCGTGCAGCTCCGGCGCCATCTCGGTCGTGTACGTCGACGTTTCCACGAGGCTCGACGCTGTTTGGTACAAGACCTTTTTGTGGCCGAGGCCGACAAGGTCGCCGTGCTTGTACGCCACCCAGAGCGCCACGAGGTCTGCCTGTCGGCTCAGATACAGCGCCGAGGCCGCCGACGGGCCCTCCTTGTGCGCGCGGATCGCATGCTGCGTCGCGTTGTGCAGCGTCGTCCAGATCACTTCGGTGTGGCTCACACTAGTGTGCTTGCGCATCAGGTCGTTCGTGCGGCGGACGACGTCAAAGATCGTCGCGAGCTGCTCGTCGGTAAACGTCTCAGACGGTGCAAACGACGTCAAGAGGAGACGCAGGAGCTCGGGCATGCGCGAGTGGAACTGCTCCTGGACGTTCTTCATGATCGCAAAGAAGAGCCGCGCGGCGCCGTCGAGCACGTGCGTCATGTCGTCCGAGTCGCCGCGGACAAGCGCGACAAAGAAGCTGTGAATGTAGTCGCTAAAGTCCTTGCCCGCCTTGACCTTGCGCAAGAGCACGCAAAAGACGCTGGCCGCAAACTCGCGCACGTAGTCCTTCGAGTGGCCGAGGAGGAGGCCGTAGTACTTGTGCACGGATTGCATGTCGGCGAGGAGCTGGGGCTGCAGGTACTTGAAGAGCATCGCGAGTGTCTTGAAGACTTCGGTCGTCAGCTCCGGGTTGACGGTCGTAATGATGGCCAAAATCGACGGAAAGAGCGCCGGAAAGTACGGGTAAAACTCCTTGCCGAGGTCCCTAAACACTGCATGAGCATGCGCGCAGGTGTACGAGTTGGCTTTTGTACTTGGCGAGCGCCACGAGCAGCTTGAGCACGGGCGTCATGACATCCGGGTCCTCCGGAAACTCGACAAGCTGCGTCTCGAGCGTTGTGACCACGGTCTTGAGGTGGTGCAACAGCTGCGGCGTCGAGTTGGTGATACGGCGCACCTGGCGAAAGACAGTCTGGAAGCGCTCGTTGGTGTAGAGCTCGCCGAGGAGCACGAGCTCTTCGTGGAACGGCGCGGTCGACGCATTGGCCTGCAGCACGTAGGCCGAGTGCGTCTGTGTCTTGGCGTGCAGCTGCAGCTCATGCTGCAAACCGACGACGCGCTCCTTGACCTTCTGGAAGCGGAAGCGCTTGGAGCTGCCCGTCGCCGCGCTGTCGTTGAGCCCCTTGGTCATCCGCGATTTTTCTGCCTAGTTGCTCTTCGCAAAGATAGCTCCACTCATTTTGACTGGTGGAGTACTCGAGCGATCCGATTGGCTCCTGACATCCGGACAATCGACACACCCGGATAGCGATACGAAAACACGCAACTTGCAAGAGCGTCCGCTGGCTACGCTCGCGTGCTGCGCGATGCCAACCTGCCGCACCAGACGACGTACAGCTATGTATTGCAGTGCTCTGAATGCAGCAGTATCGGTCACTAGCGTCGTTGGTCCTGCCGAGAGCGATCTAGCGCACCGAGATGCTCCACGGTCGGTCGATGCGTTCGTGTGGCGGTACTATTGAAAAGGTGCTGGCCTGCACGTATACTTGAGGCGGAGGTGCACCGACTATGATCGACTGGATTGCATAGTCCGATTGTACTAGTAGCGAGTTGCGAGGTGCGCTTCGATCGACGAGGGCCTCCGCGCCGTTCGCTTGGCTCGTTACCCGCCGTATACGACACCGCTGCAAGGACAGAGGTATTTGCCAGCGCTGCAAGTACTACAGAACGCTACATCGACTCTGCAATCGAGCGTATCCACTGCACTGCACAGGTAGATCTCCCTCCGACTTGGGCGAAGTTTGGTACCACTTCTCATTGCAAGAGCGAGCTCCGAGCCCACCATATTGCCCATGTAATTCAAGCTGTGTGTTTGCGAACAATGAGACTTCGCGTCTTGGAAGCACCGAGGTCGAGCGTGCTCTGCTCTTGGCGGCGTCGGTACTTCGGCGCAGGAGGCGTGATTTCAACCTTTGTCGTGATTGGCTGGACACATATTATCCGGATTCCGTATCCGGTGTAGATCGTTGTTTGGCTGGGCAGAGTTTTCGAAGCAAGCCGATCGATCGACCATGAACGCGATGAACAACCTCCCGGCGTACCAGCAGCAAGAGCTGATGAAGCACTTTGAGGAGAAGCAGCTGGAAGAGAGCTTGGCCATGTACAACCGCGTCGTCGCCACGTGCTTTAACGAGTGCGTCCAGTCGTTCCGCTCCAAGAAGCTCGACGACAAGGAAGAGGGATGCATCAACAAGTGCACGGAAAAGTTCGTCAAGCACACGCAGCGCGTCGCGACGCGCTTCCAGGAGGCGCAGGCCGCGGCCATGGAAGGCCAATAAGTAGACTAATGCAGCCATGTCCTGCACCGCCTTTCCCACTTTGCACTTTGCCGTTACAGGACCAATCTCGGAATTCGTCGAGCAGCAGAGTCATGCGACGAGGACCACTCGCGCTCCTGGCCACTATCGTGGCACATGCGTCGGGCGACAACTTGACCTTCTCCGCGCCCAAGCTCGTCCTGGATGATGTACCCTTTGCGTGCACCTTGACCTTGCCTGCGCTACCCCCACTCGGTACGATTTCTTTGCGCGATGACGGGAGGCCGCGACAAGATATAGGCGATGCTTGGCCGGCAGCTCTGTTCTTCATCGTCCATGTTAAGACGCACCGTCTCGGGGCCTTCGTAGTGTCGACGACGTCCAAGAGCCATACCCTGAGCAACCTCACAGTGGCATCGACGGGGCTGCACACGCTGTACCTTGAGGTTCTCTGCCGTTGTTCTCGGTCGACAATGATCAAGTTGAGTACCATAGGCCATTGATGGCAACGGTACATCCTTGGGCGCGGCGGTCACCACGGTGCCCAGCGTACCGGGTTTTCTATCGCTTTTGCCGCCGCTGCTCACAGTCGTTGTCGCGGTGCTCTGCAAGCAAGTGCTCCTTGCTCTCATGCTTGGCGTCTGGCTCGGCTGCGTCTTTCTGAATGCGTTCAACCCGCTCGTGGCCCTCCTTCGCGTCTTCGACACGTACTTTAGCCACGTATACACTACGTTCTGAGTCATCTCGTTGCTCAGATCTTATTCGTAGGCACTGGACTACCGCAACGGCCACGCGCAGGTTGTGACGTTTTGCTTTCTCCTGGGCGGGCTCATTGGCATTGTACAAAAGGGCGGCGGCGCCCACGGGCTCGCGTCGCTCGTCACGGCACTCGCAGCAACCCGCGGCCACGCCCTCGTAGCGATCTTGGCGCTGACGGGGCTTGTCTTCTTTGACGATTACGCCGCCATTCTGATTGTCGGTACGACCTTTTCGCGCCCGGCGCAGGACGTGGGCGTGAGCAAAGCCAAGCTGGCGCTGCTGCTCCATGGCGCATCGGCGTGCTGGGTGAGTCTCGTGCCCATCTCGTCGTGGGTCGGCATCCAAGTTGGATATCTCCAAGGCGAGGCCTCGCTCTCGGGCGACGCGTTCAGCTGGCTCCTTGCGTCGTGGCCGCACCGGTACTTTCCGCTGCTGTGGCTGTGCTTCCTTTGTCTCACGGTGGTCACGGGCCGGGACTTCGGCCCGATGCTATTGCACGAGCGCGCGGCACAGCGGCTCCCGCCCGAGAGCCGCCACCGCCTCTCAACCGACTCGGAGACGTTCTCACCCCTCGCCATGGGACTCGCGAGTCCGAGCGTGCTTCCAGCGTCGGCTCTCGCGCCGACGATGCCGGTCGCTTCCCAGCGCTGGTACAACGCTGCGCTGCCGTTTGCCGCCGTCGGCGTCGGGACATGCCTCGGTCTTTACTGCGATGGCCTCGCCCACTGCACCAGTGGGGTATTCCTGTCACCACATACCATTAAGCGAGCTCTCACGCCTGCGTAGGACAAGTCGTGGCGCACGATTCTAGCGAGCGCGAATTCGTTCAACGCGCTCATCGCTGGCGCACTGGCGGGCTGCGTCGTCGCGGCGACGCTCGTTCTCGGTCAGCAGCTCTTGACGATGCGCGGCGTCATGGCGGCATGGCTCGCCGGCATCGCCGAGACCATGCTCTCGCCCGTGCTCGTGCTCCTCCTGGCGTGGTCACTCGGCGACGTCCTTCTCGACCTCCAAGCAGCCGCGTACTTGGCGTCGGCGCTCGGATCAAGCCTGCCGCCTCCGCTGTTGCCCGTCGTGGTGACAGCACTAAGCTTTTGCCTCTCGGGTGCAACTGGGTCTGCGTTTGGGGCCATGGGCATCCTCTTTCCGCTTGCTCTACCGCTCGCCGCGACCTTGTGTACGTCTATTAACTCACAGCGGTGTAGAGGAGTGGAACATGCACATATTGTCGTAGCGCCCGGCGACACGGACTTGCTGACGCAATGCGTGGGCGCGATCTTTGGCGGCAGCGTCTTTGGCAACGTACTGAGCCCGATCGCGGACGACACGGTGCTCACGTGCATGGCGACGGGCCTTGACGTCCACACGCACGTGCGCACGACGCTTCCGTACGCCGCGCTTGTCGGCAGCATGAGCCTCTTCCTGTGCGCGCTGCCAGTCGGGTACGGCGTCTATGGCCCGACACTGGCCCTCGGCCTTTCGGTGAGCGCGTGTTTATGCCTCCTCCTCGTGCTTGGGCGACCGGTGGTCGAGACGAGGCGCCTCGTCACCGAGGCGACGCCGCTTCTGCCACCCGAATCTTCGTAGTACAGTGCTTGAAATTTCGTTAAATAATGGGTAGCGCCGACGCTTAGCTTTCGACCACCATCTCGAGGACGACGTACATGATCGCTGCGTTTGGGACCGTCTTCATGAGGTGCGCCGGCATGCCGCCGTAGAGGCCACGCGTGCCCTCGGCCTTGTAGATGGTCGCGATGCTCTGAAACATGCCGCGGTACTTGGCGGGGGACCCGTCGATCGGCGTGCGCTGGTCGCGCATGCGCGTCCGGACGACCTCGTGCGGGTACGTGGCGGCCGCGGCCGTGAGCTTGCAAAGGCCAGCGAGGAAGAAGAGCTGGAGCTTGGACGGTTCGTCGAGGCGGCTTTTCAGCTCTTCGTAGAGCGCGAGCTGGATCGCCCCCTCCGAGACGCCCCAGTACGACGCCGAGAGGCCTTTGAAGAAGGCGCGGGCGCCCTCCTCCTTGTACATGCTGATCGCAACTTCGTGCATCGAGTAAAACTTGGAGGGTGTAGACTTGATCGGCGAGAGCGCAAACGACGCGCCGCTGCCGTTGAGGTTCAAGCGCAGCATCTTGCCGCCCGCCAATGGCAGCGTTTGGGAGACGTTCTTCATGTGCACGTCGACGCTGGCCTGCGCGACGTGCGTCGGCATGAGCTGCATGCGGGTCTTGACGACAAAGATCGGGCTGAGCACGGACGCAGTCATGCACCCGGCGGCCGCGGCCGAGCCAAAGTTGGTCGCGGTGCCCGAGAAGCCGTGGTCGTTGCAGAGGCCCTTGAACTTGGCGTAGCAGCCAAAGTAGGCAGCGCGCGCGGGAATGACACCGAGGAGGTTGGGCGTGATGCCACGCCAGAGGCCAAAGACACTCTCTATCGCAACAACAAAGATGTAAAGATCCATACGGCTTGATGAAGCGATACCGTTGCGCAAGATGGTGCGCAGGACGTTCAGGGTTGAGAGGTTTTGATTGCACGCGCGCGCCATGTCGCTCCTACAGCATAGCGTCAGCAACGGCAATGTATGGGCAGGTGGTACCGGCCGAGCTTGGTTTGGAGGCGCGTCTTGATGACCTCGAGCGGCGACGTGATGATGGCGGCGGTCATGCCACCGACGGCGCCGCCAATAAAGTGGCGGTACTTGGGGTCGCTGAGCACCTGCATGAGCTCCGACGAGTCGTCCGAGAGCGCGGAAGAGTACGACGCCATGATGAATGAAGATTGAAGATTGTTTCTCGGAAGTTCTCCACGCGCCTTCATGTCGCAGACCAATGGCGTGGTGGACCACCAGTCGTGGCCGTTTCATTTTGGCCAATCAACGAGCAGAACATCTGCTTCGAGTCGGTGATTCGCTCGCCCATCGTCGCAGCGCATTGGCAGAAAAGAGCCAATCGAATCGCTGCAGTTTGAAAACGGCAAAGTGCAAGGACACGCATTTCACACAAGTTTCCCACCTTTTGCACACGACACGCACAACACGCTCTATTCGCTCTGCTCATCAACGGGTCGCCAAGGGCCTGCCGCCCTCGCTGCAGCGCACGAGCAGATATTCACACTTGCCCAACGCCAAGTCTTTTCACACGCGAGGACCTTGCCGTTGCACGCAACAGAGATAGCCTACTCTCTGTCGTGCGCTGGCCAGTGTCAATTGAGCTGCTGATCGCACATGCTGGGGCAGTGACGCTTCGAGACGACGCTTGGTACACTGTAGTGGCGCCATTTCTCCGTGTGTTCAACAACGCCTTTCGAGAGCGATCCTTCGAGATCACCGCGCGATTCACACCTTTTTCACACATTCCATATGGCGCCAGTGGTGAAAAACCACGCGCGTCCTTTCGCAAAGATCGCAGAATCCAATGTCGCTGGACGCGGTCGCCAAGCATGCGTTCGCGTACGAAGGCGGCGACGTCGTCCTCGCGGACGAGCACACGGTGGTGACGCGCTGCGGCAACCTCCTCAAGTTCTCGTCCGTCGTGAGCAACTCGCAGCACTTTTTACCGCGGGCCAAGGCCTCGCGCATTGTGGCCTTTGACGTCAACCCCAAGACGGCCTCGATTGCGCTCGCCGCCTGCGAAGAGAACGCGAGCATCGACATATACACGCTGCCCGACAAGGTACTCGCTCATGCACGCTGTCGTGACACTTATACGGAGCACATAGCGCTGGAAAGGCCGGCTGCCCAACGACACGGCGGCGTTCGAGTACCACTTGCTCAAGTTTTCGCGCTGCGGCTCACGCCTCTTGTCGCTGGGCACCGACCAAGGCAACCAGGTAGCGATCCATGCGCTATGGCGATAGGTAGCTGAAACGCATGTGTAGCTGCGGGTGTGGGACCTCGACCACTTTGACGCGATCGAAGGCTGCCTCGCGACGCTGCCGCACCGGTACTCGTTCGCGTCCTTCAACCCGCTCAACCCCGACCAATTTGTCCTGGGCGGCGACCACGGCATTGTGTTTTGGCGCGTCTGCAAGGTCCAAAAGACCTTTTGCCTCAGCCGTCTGGACGCCGCGCGAACGTCCGAGCGCCTCGTCACTGCGACAGGCGAGTACGCCGGCAGCGCGCTCTCGTCCGACGAAGCGGCCGAGAAGCGCCGCGAGTACTCGTGCCACTGCTGGAGCAAGGACGGCAAGCTGTACGCCGCCAACCGCATGGGCGAGCTCGTCAAATTCGACCCGACGCGCGGAGAGATCGTCGCGGTCGTCGTCCTCTCGCGCACTGTCGTGCTCACGTCGCTCGTGCTCACAGCCGAGTGCCTCGTCGCTGGCTTCTCGGACGGATCTGTGCGCTGGCTCCACGACCAAGATTTTTCTGTGCTGCAAACGGTACCCGCTTCCGCTCTTGGCTCGCGAGTGATACACAAGTTAGGTGGCCCTGCCCGCCGGCGAGCGGCTCGTCGCCCTCGGGCTTTCACCCAGCCATGCGCGCATTGTGCTCGGCAGCTCGGGCGGCGGCCTCTACGAGCTCAAGGCGCTCATCGACATCGACGAAGACGAAAAGTCGTCGGCCGCCAACGCCGCGTCGCTGCTCAACAAGCTCGGCGGCTACCACACGGGCGCTGTCCTGAGCATGTCGCTGCTCATCCCCGCGGGCGGCACGACCAACGATGCGGTCGTCGTCTCGGGCGGCATCTCCGGCGCGCTCTACTTTTGGACCGTTCAGAGCTGCAAGGGCATCTCCGTCTTGTCGCTCACCGACCTCTTCGAGTCGGCGTCCAAAGCCGTCATCACGGCCTTGGCCGCGCGGTACTTGGACCCGATCGTCGTCGTAGGCGACTCGACCGGCCACGTGCGCATCCTCAGCGTCGCCAAAGTCGCCACGGCTTCCATCGACGTGTCGCCGATTCACTGCGCGCGCGTATGCACAACAGCGATCGATCTCATCGAGATCCACCCGGCGTCCGCCCTCGCGCTCGTCGCGTCCTCGAGCAGCCACGTCGTGTACGTCATGTCGTTGGACCCGGAGCGCCAATTTCGCATCCTCGGGTTCGCCCAGGGCCCGAGTCCGAGCGCGCACCTCTCGATGGTCAAGTGGGTGCCGACCTCGAGCCTCGAAACGTCCGCCTTTGTCGCCTCCGTTGGCCACGAGATGTTCTACTGCGCGCTGATCAACTTGGACGAGCGTATTGCGATCGAGTTTCACCTTGGCCTCCTCGGCGCCTTTGCTGCCGCGACCGTCGCCCAACGCGGCGTCTTTCTAAGCGCGTCCCATGCGCTCAAGCTGCTGACGTACGTCAACTTTAGCGCCAAGCACATGAGTGTACTGCGCATCAACGACGCGCCCAAGACGATCAAGTGCGTCGAGGCGAGCTCGCTGCACGCCGACGCCCACGCAAAACCGCTGACGGCGATTGCCAAGAGCCCGTTGGCGTCGCGGGACGGCGCCGAGATCTTTGCGACGGGGGCGGCCGACGGAACCCTCTCGATATGGCTGCTCCAGCCCACGACGGTCGGGGCGACGCTCAAGGACACGGTGTGGCACATCGCCAAGCAAAAGAGCATCGTGCTGCACGCCGGCGCGATCACGGCGATCGTGTTTTCGCACGCAGAGGACGCCACGTATGTGTACAGCTCGGGCGTCGACGGCGCCATCTTCTGCATCGAGCTCAAGCCCGAGCACGGGTTGAGCCTTGTGAAAGCAGTCTCGGAAGGCGCGTCACCGCTCTACGTCAACCTCGGAAGGCGCTCGAATGAGCCAGAGAAGAAGGCGCCGCGCTGGCACCTCAATGACGACGGGCGGCCTTTTCTCGAAGTGTACGCCGACGAGCAAGACAGCCTGGCACGAGCCAAGTTTGACGCCATCAAAGACAAGATCCGCGGCCCGCTGAGCGACCTCCAGCTCAAGCTCAAGACGATGCTAGCGCACAACGCCGAGCTGCCCGAGATCGAGGCGCTCGCACGCGACGAATTTGTCATCAACCGCGACCTCGAAGCGTCTCTCTTGGCGCAAAACGCGGCGCGCGCGGCCGACGTCCGGTCGCACATTGGCCGGCAGATCGCTGAAATGAACATTGTGCGCGAGCGCATGAAGGCCGAGTTCTGGGACACGGGCGACACGAAGGGCGTCGTGCTCAAAGGCCTCACCAACACAGACCTGATCGTGTACAACCTCCCGACGCGCAAGCTCGCGGCCAACGAGAAGCGGCGCGAAGCCGCAGTCCAGCGCCTCCGGCAGCTCGAGTATCAGTTGGCGCGGCTTGAGCCGAGTGAGTCGGTGCGGTCGGCGCGCCGGCGGACGTCGGCCGGGTACCACCACGCCGACTTGATTCCGCCCGGTATCTCTTGGATGGTCAACGCGGGCTTGCTCCACCCAACGCTCGGGAAGCGCGAGGCGCCACCGCCAAAGCCCGACGAGTTTGATCTCGCAGCCCCCGTGCGACTCGTGGACCTGATCTACCACCCGGCCATGATCCGCACGCGCAAGCAGCAGCGCACGCAGATCGCACTGCTCTTGGCGTACGAGCGGCAGCTCCTCGGCGAGTACAACAAGGACTTTGACGAGCTCGCGCGCCTCAAAGAAGCCAAGATGGACGAGATCGAAGCCAAGAACACTCGGATCCGAGAGATTGGCGCCGAACTCCAAGTGCTCGAATCGCCAACCGTGTACACGTGGAGTGCGGACGAGGTCGCCGACTCGGTGCTCACACTTCGTCCGGACGAAATGACCAAGACGCCGTACGAGACGGATGAGAAGCGGAATGCGCGGGAAGCCGCCGAAGCGGCCGCACGCGCACTCGAGGCGCGCAACCAAAAGGACGACGTCGCCGGCCGCGCGCTCCGCGACATGATGAACGGCACGCTCGAGGTCAAGAAGGAGCTGGTGCAGGGCTCGAGCCTCGTCCGGGAGCCGTGGATGGACGAGACGCCAACCGACGAGCTCACGCCCGAGCAAAAGCTCAAGCTCGCCGCGTACGACGCCGAGGCCGCGCGCATCGCGGACGAGAAAGAAAAGTACAAAAAGTCGCTCGACCTCGAGCTCAAGAAGCTCAAAGCCGACATTGCCGACATTTGCCGCGGCTTTGACGACAAGCTCAAGCTGCTGCAGGAGCTATACCTTGCGACGCGTCTTAGTGTTCTTACGCAGCAAATGTACGTGCTCCGGCTCGGCGACGTGCTCATGAGCCACGAACATATTTGCCACGACCTTCTGAGCCTCTCGTCCGAGATGGCAGGTGTGGAAACCGAGATAGCGTCGCTCAACGGCGACCATGCGCAGTTCGAGTCGCGCCTCGAGAGCTGCAAGGACGAGTGGCACAAGGCCATCGAGGACGACAAGGCGCTCGAGAAAGCGTTTTCGCGCGAAATCGAAGAGGCCGCGGGCGTCCCGCTCGAGCACGACGTGCTGCGATCGCTCACCGAGCTGTATCGCAAGCGCCGGTCGGTGGACGACGCAACGGGCGACAGCAGCAAGAAGCTCGCGGCGATTGGCGCCCTTCGGCGCAAGAATAGCCTCAAGGTCGCCAAGCAAGGCTCGAGCCGCGTCCTCGTCCAAGACGGCGACGCAAACGGGGGCGTTGCCGACGCACTCTTGTCCAACGACGAGTCCAACGACCCGTTCGCGTTTCTGGACCTCAAGTCCCGCAAGAAGCATGAGGTGCGCAAGGTGCTGCCGCTGGACGCCGACGCCGACCGACCGGAAGCGATCGCGCACGACTCGCCGGTCTGGGCAGCGCTCAACGACTGCCGCGCGCGCAAGATCCACGCCGAGCACATTGTCAAAGGCAAAGCCGACGCATTTGCGGAAGCCAAAGAGGTGTTTGAAGCGTCCCAGTTCAAGCTGACTCAGCTCGGGGCCAAGCTGACTCGGTGCAAGAACGAACGCCTCGAGCTCGACGCGTCGATTCGACTGTCGAGCGAGAACCTCCCGATTCTCGTCAAGATCAAGCAAGGCCAGGACGAAGCGAGCGGCGACGATGTCAAGACGCTCTGCGAAGAGTCCGAGTCGGCGCTGCTCATTTGCCGCGCGGCCGTCGAGCGCCTCAACGAGACCATCTTGCTGCACGGCAAGGACCAAGTCGGGATCCTCTCCAAGATCAAGAACTTTCGCAAAAATATCAACTTGATGGAGTGGGACCATGCGTACCTCGGCATGCAGAAGAAGAACATGGACGACCACTACACGGACCTGCAGCTCTTGCGTGTGACGAAGAACCTCCAGGAGATCTTTACGACCGGTGACTCGAGCGAGAAGCTCAAGCGCGAACAGCATTTGCTCGAGGCCAAGTTAGCGTACATGGGCAAGAGCCACGAAGCGAACGCGGTCAAGCAGCACAAGGTGCTGCAGTCGCTCCACGCGACGCTCGCCGACCGCCTGCGTGAGAACGACCAGTTTCAGCGCCAGCTCAACGAGCTCCAGACCCATATCCAGATCCGGGAGGACATTCGCGCGAGCCGGCGAAGCGCCAAGGCCGCGCCGGCCAAGCCCAGCAGCAAGATGAAGGCCATCACAGTGCGGCGCAAGCTCGTGGACCTCGCCAAAGCCCAGACGGATGAGATTGAGTTTATGCGCATGGAGCTCGACAAGATGCGTCGACGCACGTTCCCCAGCTTTGTGCAGCCCCTCAACCAAGCGCCGCCAGACGACTTCTTCGCAGACTAGTCATATCGACGAGCTAGCACATGTTTCAATGTATCAAGAATGTATCAAGACACCAACATATCGAGAGAAAATGAAATTAACCAAGGCGAATATGCCTACGAGAGGCACACGTGCAACTGCCCGCGCGGCAAATCGTTGTGGACGGCAGACGCAAACGCCGGCGAAGCGTCCAGCAAGACGTGGAGCGTCGCTGGGAACGTCTGCGGCAAATCGCCGCTCAGATGCGCGCCGACAAAAGCGCTGAGGGACGCCCAGCGCGCGTACGTGGCCGGCGCAAACTGCATCGACCGCGCCGCGTCGGGCACCCGCGCAAAGCAGCGAGCGACAAGCTGTGCGACGTCACGCGCCTCGTCCACCGTCGCGCGGGCCACCAAGCTCTCGACAAGGTCCAGCGAAAACCACAGATCCGTGTCGGCCGACGCCAGCCCAAACGCCACGTACTAGTTTTAATGAGGCATAAACTATCGACGGGTGAAGTATTACCTGGGACAGCAGCCGCGAAAGAAGGGGTGTGCAGGTCGCGGGCAGCGACGACGCAAGCTGCATCATCGACTTGCAAAGCTGTTGGAGCTGCGTCACGACGTTGAGCCGGTACTTGGCGTCGTTCTTCTCGGCCGACTCGTACGCCTGCATCCAAACTAAGATGGTGTTGACGGGAGCAAGGGTACCTCGATGGCCGTCGTCGCGATCGAGAGGAGCCAGTGGACGATGACGTCGCTACTCGCATGGCGGAGCAGCGCGCACTCGAGCCACGCGAGGAGCCCAAATTTGTGGACGAGCGTAAAGACGCCGTGGGGGGTCGCGACGGACCGGCTCAGAATGTGCAGCACAAAGTCTTGCGTGTACGCGTCCGCAAGCGGCGAGTCGAAGAACGTGAGCAGAATGGCAAACACGTGGCGGCGCTGGAGCAGGTCGACGTCAATGTTGAGCCGGACGCCGCGCTTGATCTAGCAAATCGTAAAATATCAATGTTTCAATCCATCCACGAAGCAAATGGACGCACAATGTGCAGGAGCCACGACCGTTCTTGGCGGTACGTGGTCGCGCTCGAGTTGAAGAGCGTGTAAAACATGGGTACGTCGGTCGTGTCGAGCGCCGACCGCGCCAGCAAAAACGCGTTGATGAGCGGGTACATGGCGTGCCCCGGGCGCAGCAGGACCGAGATCGCGTCGTTGGCAAAGACCGTGAGGAGCGACGGCAGCCGCTCGTGCGTCGACCGGACGCCGTTCTTGAGCGTCTCGAGGAGCAAGTGGATCTGCCGCCGCTCGTGAAAATCGTGCGACCGCGCGGTGACGCTCATGGCTTCGTGCGCCGACGCCACAATGCCATATGCATACGCGCGGATCGTGTCGTCTTCGGCCGAGAGCGCGCAAATCGCATACCTGTACACATAGTCATCAGACAACTGCGATACACAAAGCTAGACAATGGATGCCGAGAGCCTACCCGAGGATGCCCGACTGGAGGAGCTGCTTGTCCGGAATGTGGCTCGTCGACAGCGTGTGGGCGACGAGCGGGAGGAAGAACGCCGGGTCGTACACGCTCGCCTCTTGGTCGTCGTCGACGGCGCCGCCCGAGAACGACCGTTGGAGCGGAAAGTACTCGATGCTCTTGCGCATGCGCGCCGGCTCGATCTCTTCGAGGAGCCAGTGCGACTTGATGCTCGAGAGCGACGACGAGGCGACGTGGTTGGCGCGCCCAAAGCAGTAGTGCGCAGTCTCCAAGCGTACGTCAAACTTGGTCTCGAGCAGCGAGAGCACGCTCTGCAGCGCCACGTCGACCGGCGACAAGGACGCACCGTACCGACTCAGCAGCGCCTTGAGCAGCGCCAGATCGACTAAATCGTCGGTAGTGCCGTCGGGTGCCGTCGCGAGGATCGCTGCCAAAGCGTCCACGAGCGTCGACTCGAGCTGCAGCTGCGGCAGCGCCGTCACGATGACACGGGCGAGCGGCATAAAGTCGACCGGCAGCAGCACAGCCATGGTCTTGATCGCGCGGTGCAGAGCTGGCGCGGTCAGCCATGCGTGGTTCGCCACGAGTGCCTTGACAACCGACTGCGCGGCGATCGTCGGTAGCTTCTTTATGTCGCGTACGTGGGCCACGAGGAGCGTCTCGACAATGTACGCGCTCGCGTCACCTGCGACACCATGGGGTGCGCGCGACAGCTGCTGCAGCGCAAACTGGAGCAGCTTGAACGCGTGTGGCGCCAGGTCGTAGTGCTTGGTCGCGAGCACAAAGACCTGGAGCTGCGCCGGCGACAGCGATTTGCCCTTGTTCTGGAGCAGCCCGTCGACGAGAAAGTCGACGTCTCCGCTACTAGTGTGCTCCGGCAGCGCTTCCAGAACGGACGCAAGCGACGTCATGGAAGTGTTGGCGTCGTTGAGGATCGCGTCGACGCACGTGGGCACAATGATGTCACGCACCCAAGCGACGCAGTCGGACGAGAGAGGCGCCGACTGGAGGTACGTGGCCGCAACCGCCAAGACACCGGGCAGCGACGCCTCGTTCAAGAGCTGGCTCGACGACCGGAGCGACGCGAATGCGAGTCGGCACTTGGCGTTCTTGACGACGAGCTCTTGCAGCAGCGAGAGATGCAGGACGCTCGAGACGTCGCTCCAGCACAAGTCAAACACGGACGCCAAGAGCGCATTGTCGGCCACGTGGTGCTGCTGGATGTAGTGCAGCAGCCACGCCTTGGGCGACACCGTCGTCGGGTGACCGAGCGCAATCGCAACGACGCGCGCAAAGAGCGACGGGCGGGGCAGCGTCGCGTGTGCCGAGAGATCGAGAAGATGCAGCACGAGGCGCACGTTCGGACGCGGAGTCGACAGCATCGCGTCAAGGAGGTCGTGGACTTCGGTTGGCGACGCGTGCGTGGCCATCGCGATCGCGAGCGGCCCTGTCTCGCCCCACGGCGTCAGAAGCTTGGGCAGGTACGCCTCGGGGAAGAGCGACGCCAGGGCGTACGGCAGCATCGCCCAGGCACGGAGCACGGCGTCGTCCGACGTCGCGACGATCGCGAGCACTTCGGCGTGGTGCGCCCACACGCTGTGCCAAAATGACGCGTGGAGGGTCACGCTGTCCATGGCCACGTGCACGAGGAGCTGCTGGAGCGCTGTGACGGCCGCGCGCATGGCTTTCACATACGATTTCGTCGACGCGATGTTCTACACACTCCATGAGACAAAGCGAGAGGTCCTTGGCACGATACCTTCTTGTGGCGGGCAAGGTACATGGCGAGGCTGTGGACGAGGTCCAGGGCCGCGACGGCCGCGCTCGCGTCCGGTGTCGCCAAGCGCGTTGCAAGGTACGACTGCAGCGCCGACGTTGATGGTACAAAGCTTTGGCCGCCGCGAAGCAGCACGTGCGGGTGGAAGAGCGACGTGAGCACGACGTGGGTCGGCGCGGTCGCGAAAAAGTGCGTCACGATGCAGCGCTTCTTGGTCGACGGCTTGCCAAAGCCGGATCGCAGCACGTCCGAGTCGAAGAGCGAGGCCGTGCCATGCGTGGACAAGTACTGCTCCATCGCTACGAAGCGGTGCGCGACGGCCGCGATCAATAGCGGCTCCGTGACGACCAGCGACTCGGTAGCCGACAGCGCCTCGAGGGACGTGGCGGGCGTCAGCGTGCGTGCATACGACTTGGCGACCTTTGTTTCGACGCTCGTGCATGCTGCGACAAAGGCGGCAACGACGCCGATCGGGTCGCGCTCGACCTTCGACGGCGCGAGCTCGCGGGGCGCCACCGAGAGCGATTGGAGGTTACGAAGCACAGCGACGCCAAATGCGGTGGCGGCCGCCATGTCGGTGACCTTGAGCTGCAGCGGCATCTCGGCGCTGCTCAAGTACGAGAGAAGCGCACGCGTGACGGGGCTCGCCGACGGCGCCCCAGGGCACGCAAACGGATTCGCGGCCACGGCCCGCACGAGGCTGTCGAAGAACGCAAGCGCGTTCGGATGCCGGCCGAGTTGAGCGAGCCACACGTCGATTTCGTGCGGCGTGTGGTTGTCGTGCACCGGGGCAAGGCCAAAGATCTGGAGCGCGGCGAGCGTCCGGCGCACGACGTGGCGTCCGAGCGTCGCGATCGCCGGCTGCGCGCTGAGGCAGTGGCGCAAAAGGGACTGGAACTTGGCGGCGTCGCCGCCGTGCACAATGTACGCAAGGCGGTGCGGCTCGGCGACGCGGAGCAGCTGCAAGAGCGCGCCCAACAAGCTCGGCGCGACCTGCGACGGCAACAGCAGCTTGGAAATGTCAAACTTCGTCTCGCCCATCGTCTGCGGCAGGTAGACAAAGTACGCCTGGAGCACGCCGAGGGCCCGCGCGCACACAAGCTCCATCTTGGACGACGCGTGGTCCGTAGTCTCCAACGGCCGGTACTTGGTGCAGAGCGTGAGCATGACCTCGGGCGGCGGCAGCATCCCGCGCAGCACGTCGGCTTCGAGCACCGAGCGCACCTCGTTCGACAGAAGCGCCGTGACGGTCGCGACGCGGGCCAAGACGACGGCCACGAGGTTGAGCGTTGTGTACACCACGAGCATATCTGTGTGTTGCAGCGCTTTTGTGAGGACGCTCTTGGTGAGGCCTACGGGCAGCAGTAGCTGCTTGAGACCGTCGAGGCACGAGACATCGACGTGTGCGGTCAGCGTCGCCGCAAGCGGGGTGAGCGGGAGGCGCAGCGCCTGCAAGACGAACGACGCGGCCGAGAACCACTTGAAGGACGGGCGCGGCTGGACGACGACCAAGTACGACTCGAACAGCGGGAGCACGAGGCCGGGGTAATGCTTGAGAAACTCGAGCAGGAGCGCCTCGCGCTTTGGTTCACCGAGCGACGCGGAAATGTTGAACGACTTGAGCACTTTGGTGACGATGTTGGCCGCCACGGACGTCGGCGCCTCGTCGGCCTCGGTCAAATGCAGCGCCTTCGCGCCCTTCTTCGTCAGGAAGGGCAGCGTCGAGATCTGGCTCACGTGGTACAAAGCACCGTCGGCAAAGAAGAGTTGGTGCAGAAATGCTTTAGCAAGGTCGGTGATCGCGTCGTCGGGCGACTCGAGGAGCTTGAGCAGCTGCGCAATCGCTGGCATCGAGAGCACGTTGTGCTTGTGCAGCACGTCGGCCTTGGCAAGGACAGTCGTCTCCAAACTTGAGAGAATCACTGTCACGTCTGCGAGCGTATCGCCGTCGATGCTCTTGAAGAGGCTGTGCGTCGGGCCGTCGGCCTTGACCATGAACCGGTACACGTGCTCGTCGTGGGAGTGTGTGAGCGACAGCACAAAGGCTACAAAGCTGTGGCGCACCGAGAAGGTCCGGCTCGAGTCGGGCATCGTCACGTCTTTTGCGCGGCGGCTACTGAGCGTGGCGAAGAACTTGGCGCTAAAATCAAAGAGCCGGACAAACTCGCGGGCGAGGCGGCCGTTGGTCGAGACGAGCTCGGTGCAGAGCGTGAGCGTCGCGTGCTCGATGCGCGGCTTGTCGGACCACGTGAGCTGCTTCGTGATCCACTCCATCTTGTTCTTGAGGATCGCGAGGCCGAATGCTTCGGCCGCCGGCACGTTCGTCGCTCGGAGCGTCGCCGCGACCGCCGTCAGAACCTCCATGAGCGGCGCAAACAGCTCGCGCTTCTTGTCGTCGACCCATACAGAGCTACCCCAGAGGTCCAAGAGCTGGTCGGCGCGCGGCGAGATGTCGAGGAACGCCTGCAAGACGGCGCAGTCCAACGGCGACGTCCACTCGATCGCGTCGTGGAAGGCCAGCAGCGAGGCAAGGAGCGGCTCCGCGTGGCCCTTCTGGATGTTGAGGAGGAGGTCGCGGAGGATGCCCGAGGCCTCGGCGTCCGGCGCCTTGGCCTTCTTGGCCGACCGCTCCGGCGACGCATGGGACCCGCGCTTCATGGTCGTCGATTTCAGAGGATGGCTCGGAATCGCTGCGAATTGATTGGCTGCGGCGCTTCGTTTGCGCTTACTTAAGCGTTATATAACACTTTTCATTCAAGCAATAGCGAGCGCTTACTTTGCGACATGAACAAGAAAAATGCATTTCTGCCAGTGACCAGACACGATCCCTCATGGCCGCTCCGACCAGCAGCGTCACGAGCAAATTCCCGACCGAGGCTGCGGGCCTGGGCCTCGCCGAGCCGGCGGATCCTCTCGCACGGCCGCGCTCCAAGCCCATCGCTGGCTTCGTCTCGACGGCTGTGCTCTCCTCGTCGGACGGGGTACGTCCATGCACATGCACCTGCGACGTGATGGCATATTGTAGCTCTTTGGCGACAACGTGGAAGAGACCCGCATCTCGGACAAGCCCGAGGCAGCGGCCGTTGCCATCTCGGACGCGCGCCCGCTTTACGATCGTCTCAAGGAGATGAAGGACCAGCGCGACGCCGAGTGGAAGGAGAAGAACAACCCGTTCGGTAGGTCTTCGGTTCGAGACCCGACGGCAACGTATACGACGTATGGTAGCGCCACCAAAGGGCCTCGACGATGAAGAAATCGAGTTTCTTCGGGCGCTCGAGGACCAGCAAAAAAGCGTAGCAGACGGGCTCAAGCGCCAGCACGACACGGACCTCGCCCAGTTTGGTACACAGCACGATATCGCATGGCGTCTTACCTCTGCATCTCTAGTCATGGCCAAGAAGGATACGCTGGCGCAAACAAAGAAGGTCGCGGCTGTCGTATTGCCGACGGCTGAGAAGAAGTTGGCGCCAGTCGTCGTCGTCAAAGCCAAGCCCAAAAAAGCTGCATCCAAGGGAACCGCATCGACGCAGCCAAAGAAGAAGCAGAAAACCATCAAAACGACCAGCACCGGTCTCGGTCTTGTCGCCAACTACTCGGATGGCGATAGCAGTAGTGACTCGGACTAGATCTCAATCATTTTTCGACTTGTCTCTTCGGTCTAGTAGTACTGGCGACCACGAACTTGAGCTGCTCTCGAGCGTATGACCAAATAGCTCTCGACCGTTCGTCAAGACATTATTGCCAAATGAAGCGACGGCATCCGCATAGAACGACGTACTGGTAATCTGACACTGTGGTCGCCGACGTTGGAGCATGTTGATGGACTTGGTGGCGAGCAACGGGTCTTTGGTGGTCCCTAAGGACGCGAGTCGCTACAATAACTAACTACTTGTAGTCGTAGTAGTTGTATCTCTCGTGTCGCAACGTGCAACCTCGACTTCAACACAATCTTTATCCGTACGATCCGGAAGCAACGCCATAGCAATCGACGGCCCCCCAGTCGGTAAGGTAGCGTCGCGTCCAGCATTGATGCGATAAAGTGGCTCAATAGTCGGTCGAGCATCCATGGTCCTACTAAGCAACAGCTCTCGCAACCGAGCTTACTACCCTTGGCTCCACGGAGCGAGCCGCGTAGACAGCTAAGTCGACCCGTTGCGCATATGTATTTGAGCACTCGCGGCGCCAACGAGACTTAGTCACCTCATGCAGTCGTCCACTAGTACTTTGCTGCTTGGGTCACCCCCGTAAGGAATGGCGTTTCGAGCAGCATGACCTTGCGTCAACCCGAGCCAAAGCAGTTCAATCGAATGCGACATATGTACTAACTAGTGATGGCTAGATACCGTGCGAAGCGTATATTAGACCTTAAAGTTAGTTTGAAAGATGTAGGACGACGAGGTGGTGGCGACTAGGCGTCGGCCGCGTCCGTGTCGGCGGACAGTCTCTATGATCCGATATCGAGTCTCGCAGTAATGGGCATGCCAATGTCCAATCAGCGCGCGGCGCGTGAAAAGCATACTGAAGCCAAGATATTGCACTGTTGGTTGGCTTGCAGCCAGTGGTGAAGTCGACTTTCAATCTCATTTTCAGTCGCAGCAAGCAAGATGGCGGAGACGACCAAGCACGGCGACGGCGTCGCGATGGCCAAGTACGACCTCACCAACACGGTCGCGCCCTTCATGGACCTCCACTTCATGTTCCCGCTCATCGAGTTCCTCACGACGAACGAGATGTACGACGAGAAGCAGCTCCTCGCGGCCAAGCTCGACCTCTTGAAGCCCACGAGCATGACCGACTTTGCCGTCGAGATCTACCAGTCGCTCCACGGCGCCGCCAAGGTGCCCGCTGAGTTTGAGCAGCGCCGCAAGGCGATCCTGGAGGCGGTCAGCGCCGCCAAGGCCTCGTGCAAGCCGATCTTGGACTTGCTCGACAACCAGGAGAAGGTCATGGCGCTCCAGAACGACAGCCTCCTGACCGCGGTCTATCTCGAGCAGCACCATGGCGTGACCTCTTCCGTCTTGGAAGGCCTCTACACGTACGCCAAGCTCCAGTACGAGTGCGGCAACTACCAGGACGCGTTGACGTACCTGACGTACTATGGCCTCCTCGTGCCCACGGGCTCGGACAAGTACATGAACGCGCTCTGGGGTAAGCTCGCGGCCGAGATCCTCATCTTCCGGTGGGAAGACGCGCTCGCCGACATTACGCGCCTCAACGAAGCCATCGACGCCAGCGGCAAGGCCCCGCTCGAGCAGCTGCAGATGCGCACGTGGCTTCTCCACTGGTCGCTCTTTGTGTTTGCATGGCACGAAGACGGCCGCGACGCCATCGTGGACTTTATGCTGCAGAGCCGCTGCCTCGAGGCGATCCAGACGAACGCGCCGTGGCTCATGCGGTACCTCGCGGCCGGCGTCATCCTCCACAAGAAGCGCCGCCACCTCATCAAGGAGCTCTTGCGCATCGTGCAGGTCGACGCCAAGGCGTACCGCGACCCGATCATCGAGTTCATCGAGTGCCTCTACGTGCATTTTGACTTTGAGCTCGCGCAGGTCCAGCTCCTCGAGTGCAAGAACGTGCTCGCGTCCGACTTTTTCCTCTACGAGAAGAACATGGCCGACTTCATGGAGAACGCGCGTCTCCTGAGCTTCGAGATCTACTGCCGCATCCACGAAACCATCGACATCTCGCTCCTCGCCGAGAAGCTCGCGATGAACGAGAAGGGCGACGCCGAGCGCTGGATCGTCGACCTCATCCGCCACGCCCGCCTCGACGCCAAGATCGACTCGCAGCGCGACGTGATCGTCATGGACCCGCGCGTCGACTCGGTCTACCGCCAGGTCATCACCAAGACCAAGGACCTCGCCGCGCGCACGACCTCGATGATCTCGCAGTTTGACCGGCTGGGCGCCAAGCGCCAGACGCAGACGCGGCCGCTCTTTTAAGATGGGACAGGAATAGATATTACTATATTGACGACAGTGCTGTACTTTCTCGTGCTATCCTCGTCCTCACTTGCTGCCCAACTCGCCGCTCGCTTGCACCATCTGATCGACCATATAAGACAACTTGTCCATCATTCGCAGTCGACTAGGCCGTCGAGTCGAGGAGCTGGTTGACGGCAACAACGACCTCGGCGTCGCTCATTGTAGCGAGCGGCAGCGACGCAAACGCCGCGCGGAACCCAATCGGGTCGGTCCGCGTCTTCTTCTTGAGCGGGTTGGGCATCTCAAAGTGCTCGAGCTCCTTCGCCTTGCGCTTGGCGTGCGCGACCACGTCCTTGGGGAAGCCCGCCATCTCGGCCACGTAGATCCCAAAGCTCTCGAGGCACGGCCCGTCGCGGACCTCGTAGACCATCGCGATCGAGTCGTCGGTCGTCACGGCCGTCACGTGCTTGTTGACGATGCCGGCATGCGTCTGGCCACTCGCGAGCGCCGTGAGCTCGTGGAAGTGCGTCGCAAAGACGCACCAGCAGCCGCGCGACAAGAGGTGCTCGGAAATGGCCCACGCAAGCCCAAAGCCATCGTACGTCGACGTCCCGCGGCCGAGCTCGTCGATGATGACGAGCGACTTGGACGTGGCTTTTTTGCAAATGACGGACGCCTCGAGCATCTCGAGCATGAACGTCGAGACGCCGCGCTGCTGCATGTCGCCAGCACCCACGCGCACGAGGAGACGGTCCATGATGGGCAGCTACGTCAACGCCATGAGGATTAGCAAAGCAACACACAAGTGTACCATGGCCGAGGTGGCTGGCACAAAGCTGCCTATCTGCGCCATGACAGCAATCGCGCCGAGCGATCGAATGTACGTCGACTTGCCGCCCATGTTGGGCCCCGTGAGCAGCTGGAAGCGCGAGTTCGTAGCGTCCATTTCAATGTTGTTGGGGATGTACTCGACGCCGTCTTGGAGCTCGACGCACGGGTGCCGCGCATGCTGAAGGGCGACGGCCGACGTCCCGAGGATCGGGCGGCTATAGCTCGCGTGGGACGCCACGTGGGCAAAGCCGAGGAGCACATCGAGGGCGGCGAGCAGCTTCGCGGCCGACTCGACGACCGGCACGTACGTGGCCGCGACCTCGATCGCCGCCGACAGAATGTGCGCTTGGCGCGCCTCGTACTCGGTCACAAAGCCCCTGTGGTCTTTGGCGAGCGACTTGAGCGTCGGCGTGACAAAGTAGAAGCCGTTCGTGAGCACTTGGCAGATGTGGACGCCTTTGACTTTGGACACACGCTCCTCCTGCTTCTTGTCGATGATGCGGAAGACAAAGCCGCGGACCTTGTCCTTCTCGCACTTGATGTCGCCGCCAATCTCGTCACGGGCGCGCTCATGCTCGTCTTGGATCTCAGCCTCGGTGTCTTGCATGCTGCGCTTGAGTTCCATGAGCGCTGGGTCGTGCTTGGCGTTCACTGTCACGTGCGGCCGCGCGTTCAAGTCGACGAGCTCCTCGATGAGCGAAATGTACCCGGCGCAGTCGTCGACGACCTTGGCGAGCGGCGTCGTGAACGTTGCTTCGAGCCGCTCGTGCGGGCGAATGGCCTCGAGCACACGTGGCAAGACGTACTTGGCAGCGTCGTAGACAGCCACGAGTGCGTCCAGTTTGACGTTCTTTTGCTTGTCGAGCGCGAGCGCAAGCTTCTCGAGGTCCGGCATCGACTTCATGCACTCGTCGAGAAGCTCCATGCGCAGACTGGACTCATCGACAAAGAGCTCGACCACGTCTTGGCGCGCATTGATCTGGTCAGCGTCGACGAGGGGCATGCGGATCCAGCGCTCGAGGAGGCGTTTGCCCATCGCGGTCTTGCCGCGGTTGAGGAGCTCGAGGATGCTGCCATTCGAGATGGTCGTGTTACCCGCGAGAAGCGGGTCGGGCAGAAGGTTAAGCGCCGTCAAAGCGGCGCGGTCGAGCTGCAAGAACGAGTCCATGTCGCCGATCGAGAGCGAGTACGTTCCGAATCCATCGGTGTCCATGAGAATCGAGAGCGAGTCGAGCACGCAGTTCAGCGCGCCCATCGCGAGGTCCATCTCGAGCTCGTGGCGGTGCGAGGCGAGGACAGACGAGACGCCTAGCAAGCGGCAAAGATGGGTTTCCATGACCGACGCCACGTGCTTGAAACGGGCCTTGGGTGCGACCACACGCTCGATCGAGTGGGCCTGCAATAGCAGGCGCAGCGGCTTGGCCTCGGCGTCGTTGCTCGTGTCCGAGACGATGCACTCGGTCGGGCTCACCTGCACGAGGAGGTTGTCGAGCGTCGAGAGCTGGTTGCAGTCCGTGAACGCGTACAAAACGAGCTCCCACTGGTTCTTGTCCTCGCCGTCGGCGTTGCGGATGCACGAGTTGCGGGCGCGGGGCCGGCGCACGGCGACGCCGACTTCGTTCTGCGTCTTCTTGTGGCGGATGTGGACCGCCATGACGACGCCCGACGTCGTCGTCTCGTCAGCATACGTCTCGTCCTCCATGGCCGCCAACCCAAAATGGATCGTTGCCGCCAAATCGCGCTCGCGCAAGTACGCTGCGTACTTGAGAGAAACCACTTGCCTTGTGTATGGGCCGTTTGCAGACCGTACTTAGTAGGAATGGCCCAGGAGCCCCACGATGCGGTTCGTGGTCGAGACGGCACATCCTTAGAGCGCCGACGCCATCAAGCGCGCTAGCCTCTTCAAGCATAAGGGTACATGCGTGCAGTTGCGGGCGCGCAACCTCCTTTGGCGGCGGTGCTACCAGTATTGGCAACACAATATGAGCAAAGAGTGTCTAATTGCACCCAACTTTTGGCGGGACTTTGGGCAGGCCTGGCGAACCGAGGTCCATGCAGCTATGAACGTCGTCCAAGCGCTAAAAACACCAAATAGACAAGATGCAGCGATCTTCCTTCGGTACGGCGAGCGTCAATGCACGGAGGCGTCGTCGAAGTCACGTTTTGTGGACGTAGGAACCGGTTTCGCTTAACGGTTTCGCGCCTGGCTAGCTGGTTCAAGTCGGACTTATCCGAATTGGCGCCTTTCGCCGGCTGCTTGTGAAACGATGGCGAAAGGCGTGAGAGCGCTCTACGCCGCAGCGGCGACGGGCACGCCGAGCGACGACAAGACGGCCGCGTTCGCCGACGCGTGCGTCGCGCTGGCCAAGTCTCAGGCGGCTTCGGATGGCCTCGCCCAGCTTCTCCTGCCCGCAGCAACGTTCAAGGGCAAGGACGTGCCCGCGAACAAGCTGGCGCTGCTCCAACTGCAGGTGCTCTGTCGCTTGGCGCTGCAAGCGGTTGCGAAAGAAGACCCATGGTCCAAGGTGCAGAAGAAGGAGCTCGTGTCGCTGCTCTCGCTCTTGGCGATGACCATGGACGCTGCCTCGATGCAGAGCAGCAGCCACGAGCAGCTGCATCATGAACATTCGGCGTTTTCGTGGTTTGTCCTCGACACGATCGCGTCAAGGTTCCAGCGTCTCGTGCCCAAGACAATCAAGCGGCTTTTGAAGGAGCTGGAGATCGAAGCGACGGAGTCCAAGCCGGCCCCGGTTTGATGACTTGCACGGTTCGCCTCGGTGCTTATGCGGTTTGCAGGCGTTAAAGCTGCCCCTCACGCTACCCAAGGAGCTCGTGAAGGAGCCCATGACGCGGCAGTCGAGCAATGACTATGTCATCGCTGCCGTGTTGAGCCAAGAGGCCACGTCGCACACGGCCGCGACCAACCCACTGGTCCTTCCTACAGCAAGACAGCAGTCGTATCTCACTGCTCAACGTGTAGCCCGTCCAACAGCTCGGCTCGTTCAAAGAATTTCTGCTGCCAACGGTCAAGCCACTTGTCAAGAGCACTCTGCTCAACAGGTCGACGTCGCTCCCGGTCCCGAGGAGTCAGTCCGAGTTCGACTCGCCTCGGGCCGCCAACGAGCCACCACCGCCCGCCAAGCTCCAGCCCATGGTCATGAAGACGCCCGACCGACCGCAGCGTCCGGCAGCCAAGAAGCGCCTCGTCCTCGTGGCGTCGTCGCCGCCTCTCCGCCGCCCGGTGAAGCGCAACATCTCGGCGCTCAGCCTCCTCAAAAAGCCCGACCAACCGTAGCGTTGCGGAATGCTCCTTAGTCGTCTAGTACATACCTTCTACTACTCTACGCCTTCTAGTGGTTGTTGTTTTGGCCACGCGCGGCCGCTTGCATAAAGTGCTGCATGCCCATGGCCATCATCGCGACCATCTCGGGCGTCATCATCGGCGGTCCTTGCTGCGGCTCATTGGCTGCCGCGTACGCGTACGCTGTCTCGCCCGTGGCCTGCACGCGCTTCTTGGCCATGTCAAAGTCACGGCGCGAGAGCGGGCGGCGCGCAACGTCACTCGGCGGCGGACGCTTGGCGCGCAAATGCTCGCGGCATGTCTCAATGTGCTCGCGCACAGGCAGCATGAGTGCGGCACGGCAGAGCTCCTTGAGGTCGCTCCCGCTGTAGTTCTCCGTCTCGCGCGCCAACTGCGCCAACTTGACGTCATTTCCGAGCGCTTCGCCGCGGAGATGGACGGTGAGGATCGCCTCGCGCTGCTGGGCGTTCGGGAGCTCTACCTCAAACGTGCGGGGCATGCGGCGGAGAAAGGCCGCGTCCTACACATCAGAGTGAGAACCCAGATCTAGTAGACTGAGACGGTGTCGTACGACGTCGGCCGGTCGGTTCGTCGCTCCAAGCACGATGACGCCAAAGCCGCCGTTGGGCGAGTTCTCGACAAAGCCATCCCAGAGCGCCATAAACTCGGTCTTCATCGAGTTGTACGTCGGGTCGGACGCACCGCTCGAGCGCGCGCCCATGAACGAGTCGACCTCGTCGATAAAGATGATGCACGGGCTGAGCTTCTGCGCGAGCGAGAACGCGGCCTTGACGAGCTTCTGGGACTCGCCAAACCACTTGCTCATGAGCGTCGAGATCTTGAGGTTGATGAAGAACGCGCCCGACTCCTTCGCAATGGCCTTTGCGAGGAGCGTCTTGCCCGTGCCCGGCCGGCCATAGAGCAGAATCCCGTTGGGCACCGAGAGGAGCTTGGACTGAAAATACTCGGGCGACTGGAGCGGCAATACTACGAGGTCGTGCAGCTCGCGCTTTTGGTCTTCGAGGCCGCCAATGTCGTCAAAGCCAACGCCGAGCTCGCTCGGGTCCACGAGGTCGCCGGCGATGATCGACTCGTAGTGGTTCATGCTAAAGACGGGCCGTTGCGCCTTTTGGAGGCGGCGCTTCAGCTTGGCCTTGCTTGCGCTGCCGCTCCAAAAGTCATCGAGCATGGGGCCCATGCTCTACGTTGCAGGCGCATGAGGCGAGGTCAGCAGATCGCCTGTCTACCTTGACAAGGTAGTCGGCGCAGCGGTACGACGTGTACACCATGAGGCCCGTAAGGACGATGTCCAGCGCCGTCTCGGCCATCGATGCGGTCTCATTCGCAGCATTCGCCGAGGTCGAGCTGTTGGCGGGCCGCGCGTCTTTGCTGTTGGCGGTGCCCATTCCGTCGTCCAGCAACCAAATCGTTCTCGAATCGTCCGGAGACAAACCCGGAGCTCAAATTTCGACCAATCACAGATGGCAAGATGCTCGTCCTGGCGGGGAACCACGGAGCGAGCGTCGCTACGATGGCTCGCGTCCATCGAGACCAGGATCGACGAGTAGTCTCGACGTACGGCTTTGCGGTCGTCATCAGCCCGACAGCGTGGGCAGCGTGGACTGTATGAAGGGTTCTGTGGGACAAGCGGTGCGAGACTCGAGTCGATCGTGATGCAAGAGTTGGTGCGTCGCGAGGTCACGACATGGTGGTTAGCCGGTCGCTAGTCGGTCGTTCGTTGGCTGATATTTAGTTAGTCGTGAGTCAGTTGCAACGTTATCACGACGTTGTTGCGAGGAAGTTTGAAGATTGTCGCGAGAAAGTTGCTAGTTCCTTTCGTAGTTTCTTCTACAATTGTATTACCATGACAACGATTCACACCTATCTAACCAACTAAACGACTAGCTATTGACTACCTACCTATCTGTCGACTCTAACGCTTCTTTTTCCTAAATACACCACCTAACCGGCGTGTCGCCTCGAGGTCACGGATGCGCCGGTCGCGCTGCAGCATCATGGCCGCATACTCCTGGTTCCGCACCCGGACCTCGTGCTCGTGTCTTGTTTCGAGGACGCTGGTGGCCACCGCGTGGGCTTGATCGTCGGCTTGGCGGTTCGCGTTGGCGGTGTCGAGAGCGATCTGCAGCGTCCGGATCTGGTCTTGCAGCTTGCGCTGCTGGACGTCGCGGATGATCAGCTGCGATATTCTTGCTGCGTGCGCTCTTGCACGCCAGACGTCGGCGTCGGCGAGGTGCGCGGCGGCTTCTGCGAGACGCGCAGCGTGCCGGTTTGCCATGGTTTGCATCGTGTTGTCGAGCGCTTGGTGCTGCGTTCTCGCTGCTTGCAGTCGCTCGTGATGAACGGTGCGCTGCTCGTCCATCGTCCGGTTTGTGTCCAGACGAGCTTGGTGCTCGCGCTCCAAAGCGGCCATCGACGAGGCGTCCAGTGCTGCTACCCGCGTTTTGGTCGCTCGCAGCTCGGAGGCGAGTTGGTCGTTGGCGGCAGCCATCGTGTCGCGCTCGGCAGTGACTTGACGGAGCGCGTTCTGAGCCGTGACAGCCTCGTCGGCGACCGCTGCAAGGACCCGCTTGCACTGAAACAACTGGATCTGGGTGCGTTTGGCGGCCGATGCGACTGCTTTCATCTCCAGTTGGTGCTTTCGTCGGCAGTCGGCAAGTGTTGCAATGGCCGCTGCAGCGAGACCCTTGACCGCCACGTTGTCTTGTTGGGCGTGGGCCAGTCGTATTGCAGACACGGCGGCGGTCGAGGTCGCTGCTATGTCGAGTGCGCGGTGCTCTTGCTGGAGCGTGCTGAACGCGGTGCGGAGCTCGGTCAGGTCGCGCTGCGCGCGCTCCTCGGTGCGGTGCAGCTGGATCTTGGTATTGTGGAGCTCGACCTTGAGGTCGGCGCTGATGGTTGTAGCCGTCACACGCTGGACCCGAGCGGCTTCGTGCAGCGCAGCGACTTGGGCTCGGAGCTCGGTGATCGTATTGTCTCTGGCGGCAAGCGTTGCGTCTTTGGAGGCGACGACGGTCTGCAGCGCCTTGGTGTTTTGGGCCGCGCACTCGGTCGTGCGGTGCAGTCGAATCTTCAAATTGTGTACTTGGACCTTGAGGTCGGCGCTGATCTCGGTAGCAGTGACGCGCTGGACCCGCGCGGCTTCGTGGAGGTCGGCGACGTTGGTCGTGAGGTGGGCAATGGTCGTGTCTTGGGTGGCGACTGTCGCCTGCAGCGTCTGGATGGTCTCGACATTGTCAGGCAACGGACGAAGCTGCGTGTCGTACTCTGCCTTGGCAGCTGTCAAGAGCTTGTAGGCAAAAGGGCGGAGGCCGAGAAGCACGCGGCGCATCCCGAGGGTGCGGACGAGCATGGCCGTGAGTAAGCCGGCGGCGAGGTAGCGCTGGGATTTGGCCCTCGTGCGCGGAATGTAGAGCGCAAGGAAGCCAAGCATCGGGGTGGGCGTCGTCATCATCGTGGTAGAGCAGTGTAC